AGCAATATATAATTTGGACCTCAAATATACAGCTTAAAATCCATGGTCCCATACATTGTACATTTAAATTAAAACATATGGATTTTGTGTCTCACCTTAATTTGTGCTCAAAATAACGCCTATGAAGGTTTAATTAGATTTTATGTCACTTAGGAAGGGGTAGACAGGCTTACTGCATTAATTTAAAATGCAGTGACATCGTACAACAGCACCACCAAAATATGCAATCTGAAGATTCTAGACAAGATTTCTGTCTCAAATTATAAAAGCAATGCATCTTTTCAATTATTTAAGAAATAATAAATTGAAATTACTTCATGCTTCRTGAAATTCTGTAATCAATTGCAAATTTGTTAGTACCTCATCATCCCTTAAAAAAAAATCCAGCTCTGTGAACTGGATTGATAAACACCACTGCATAGTGAATAGGCAGTAATTCACACTTAACCCTTCAACAATACAGTATGAAGGAACATACTGGCTTTCCTATTTTCAAAACACTTCACAGTCTTACAACAGACCTCTGTATTAACTTTCAATTTACAAAACATTCTAACTGAATGTTAGAATGTCAAAGAGTAGGACTGGAAGGGATTTCACACAGTCAGGGATTTCATACCCTGTCTCCACAAAGATCTGTCCAACTTATTCTTAAAATATCACCTTTCACATACAACATTCTTTAGTAACATATTAAAGTACTTCATTTTCTGTACAATTAGAAACTGTTTCCACTGCCTAACTAAAAATTTCCACAGTGCAATTAGGTCCAGCAATTCTTGTCCCAGCTAGGGACCAAGCAGMTAAAAAAAATTACTCTCTTTGCTCTTTGCAACACCTATTTACATATTTTACTATGTCTCCATAAACAATCTCTTTTCTAGATTATCTAAACTTAACKCTCTTTTGTTTTCCATAGAAGTCATGCTTTTTAGACTTCTGATAATTTTCATTTTTCTCCTTTAGATTCTCTTCAGTTGATTTACTACTTTTGTGCTCTGTATCCTGGCAAAGCCATTATCAACTGAGAGCAAAAGGAGTATTTTATGAAGCTTACAGGTTGTAATCCTGTTTATTACTCCCAGTTTGCCATTTTGCAACAGCATGACACTGCTGATTCAGCTAGTGATTCACCACAACCCTCAGATCTTCTCCTGCAAAATGACTACCAAACCAATTGTTCCAGAACCTAGTATTTTTTTTCAAGGAATTATTCCAAAGCAAAGAATTCTGCATTTGTTTTTAGCAAATTTATATTTTTCAGATTCTTTTTTCCCWCCATTTGTCCAGATCTTTCTGAATCTTAATTCKGTCCTTCAYCATACTTGAAACATTYCTTAACGTCATCTTCAAGTCTCCARTTTCCTGAGGTCACTAATKAAAATATCAAGCAGAACTGGACACAGAATAAAACTCCTCTGCCCAGCACAGCCTTCCATTCTGAAAGGATCTCTCTAGGCATTCATTCACCTAAAAGCAGTTTTCATTAGCTCTCCCTTGCCTAACTTGCTCATGAATATGACAAGTAAAGCAAGTCAAAAGCCTGACTAAGGATAAACTTCAGGACCTCTGCTGCTTTTCCCTTATCCCCAAGGCTTGTAACCTTCTCCAAGAAGGAAATTAGCTTGATTTTACATGATTTATTCTTGTAAAAAATATTTGTTGGCCGGTATTCGTCTTCTTTGTTCTTTTGAACCAATGTCTGCAAGCTCTGGATGTGCTCGGGATGTACTCTTCCAGTATTTTTCCAGGAACTGAAACTAATTATCTGACTCTTCTTTTTTTCCCACCTCCCTTTTTTAAAAAGCAAATATTCTCTTTTCTGCTTTTCCAGTCATCCATGTACTCRATGGATGTACTTTGTAACCTGTTCTTTCTCCGTTCAAGAACAAAATCTTTCCTCCTTCTCACTAGAACTAATTGTGCTAYCCAGTGGACTGGAGCTAGCTAACCCTTTCAAAGGAAGGCTGATAAAAAGATAAGAATTACAGCTTTTCAATGTCTCTTTTGTTGATGATTTTCCCTTCCTTATTCTTTCTAAGTACCAAACCAAATCTTTTTTYCTTGTTTTTTTTTYCCTTTATTTCCAAAGCATTTGCAGAACTGTTTTGCTACCCTTGACATCTCCTGTTGCAAAAGTATACCTAATGTAATGTGTTGCCTTTCTTATTTTGCTCTCACTCACACCAAACCAYTAATTCTTTTAATATAAATGCAGAGAGTAAATGTATGGTGCACTTCTCCTACTACACTCTTTAAATTTTAACATATTATTTCCTAAATCGCTACAGCTTTTCAGAGATAAACAAGGCTGAGAATTATCATTAAGAAGCACAGACAGGCAGTGGGAAGTGGTAAGGAGGTGGCAGAATGCCTTGTCCTAGAAATCTGCATAATGTTTTAAAATTAACATTTAATACATCTAATTGTATTATTAAAGGGCAAGACCCAGCCATGTAATTGCAATTGTACAGACCTATTTTATAAGTCCAGAGTTGATTGAGGTCATATATATATATATATATATATATATATATATCAGATTTAAATTGTTTAAGTTGCATGTTTATAGACTGCTCAGCTTCAGTATAAAAAACAATACACTTTCTAGTCAAAAGGCTCTTACATTATTATCACCCCTTGCTATAGTCACTACTTTTCTACAAGTATGTTCAGAACCCTAGTTCTTAAACTCACATCAAGATTTTTGGATTTCAGAATTGAAGGAAAGCATTAGCTAAAGTCAGCCTTTGAAATTGTGTACGTATGGAATTTCATAGATTCAAATGGAGCACTTGACCTTGCATTGTTTCACTAGTCATTCCAGCACCTCTGTGTAATAACATGCATGCAGTATTATCACATTTTTGTTTCATTTTGTGTATTTAACTAACCTACCCACTAAATTTTCCAAAGCATGTAAAAATTACATACCTAAAAAACATATAAAMTTCCAAGACAAAAAATCCCCAAAACTTAGCTTTGTCAATCTATTTTTCTCCATAACAGAATSTTTCAGTGCTAGCAAGCATGCCTGAGAAGAAACTGCACATGCTAATAAGTAAATCAAATTCCTAAAGGTAGTGTCATGAGTTCATTCAGTTTAACTTCTCTTGCTTTAAAAAGGGTCACCAGAATTATTCTACTTCAGTAATRTAACAGCATTGTTGAAATCTGTCTTGTCTTTTTTTCCCCTTACTGTAGTTTTCAAGGCCCCAAAATAACCTGCTCATTAGCCTTGGTCTAGTTCATTGTTTACACAAATAGGCCAAAATGTACTTCCACTTGCAGAATGAAGCTGAAGCTTTCTGAAGGAACAGTATCGGCAATGCTCACCTATTCAAGTCCCAAACAGAGGGCCATTCATAAGAAATGTCCTTGGATTCCTGTATTTCTTGGCARTAGACAAATGCCTGATTATTCCATTTCTCACCAGCACAAACTAACATCTAATTGATTGTAGATGAAGAATGAAAGGTTCCATGAGCCACACGGTCACACAGCTCTCTTTTCAATTATGAGCTCTTTTTCAGCTTTTTATACAAATCAAATGAAGATAYTGGATGTAATTTTTGAAAAACAAATACTATACTCCTTATTTAGATAAAGAATGGGASAGATAACAGAGAAAGGCAGATTGACAATCCCAGAGTACTCAAGGTGATGAAGGGCACACAATGCAAGGCACATTCACAGGTAATTCAAATAAACTCWTGTTGTGCCTTGGTCATTTAAAGGCATAGGATAATAAAAATAAACATGTGCCTTAGTCATATCAAGGCATAGGATAATAACGACACTGACAGATTTGTGACATGCTAAGTAAACTGAGGCACAGGATATCCAAGTAACTGCTTTCAGAATTCCCTTCTAAAAGAACAAATTAGGAATCCAGTCTTCTATGCTACTATCAAGTTGATATTCCAGCTTTAGCATAYGTAACTATCCTAGAGTTCAGTCTACAGTTTGGTTTGCCAGTTTGAACCTAGAGCTATCTCCCTTCAGAAACCCAGAATACATTAAGTTTCACTTCTGAAGATAGGCACAAAACTCCTCTATCCCTTACAGACTGTGCAGGATGTATTGGAACACCTTCCACACCAAGTGAACACAATGATTCCTGAAGCACACCCAGCTCCACCTGGCAAAAGCAGCAAGCTGGGACCAGCTGGGACCACTGCAACTTTCATGGCACTTAACTGAAATACAGTGCAATGTACAAACACAAGCTCTCCAAACAGGCCATGAATCGTAAAAAAATTGAATATTTTACATGGGAATCTTCATCCCAAGCAACCTCACTGAATGCAAATTCATTGTCTTTGATTCTGTAAAAGCCTTGTGTAGTAGTTTTATTCKGAAGGACTGCAAAAGGAGTCAGAACAACTGCATTGTATTGATGTACTTGTTTTACATGGAGCCTATGGCCACCCCAATTGCAAAATTGTTCAAATAAGCAACTGAATTGTTAGAAAAACACGCTTTGAGATATTTTGATGCAAGAAAGGGAAAAAAATCAAAACCAAACCAAGATATTTAGATAAAAGAATGTAGAAATGAAGAATGYTCCTGAATTCTACAGCATCTTCAAATGTTTTAATAAAAAGCATTAAAAAAGAATTTTTATACCATTAGAAATTTATTACCTTGGTCTTCCCATTGAACTTTCACAAGGGAGTTCTCTGTTGCTTTTTTCTTGGCATTCTCCTCTTCTTCTTGTGACCATTGCATGTGGTCCCTGCAAAAGGGAASAAGAATCAGCTTTTCAATAGGATTTTTCACAATATTTTTCCCATGAGAAACAGTAATGAATTAGTTACACTGTCTCAAATACCTTTTTTTTGAGTGCAAAAAAATGACCACAAGAAGACTGACAGTTAAAACCTAAGTTTCAGTGTGTAATTGATAAAAATTAATTATTAATTAGGCAAGTCAAGTGATTAAGAAACATACCCCAACCACAAAGAGACTGAAGTAGTATTATTTATTTTCTTAATAACAAGATTAATATATATCTTGAATATTGAGTGTGTGAATACATTTTGAGTATGCCATAGACCTACCAACAAACACCATAATGCCAGAAATGTTAATAATGCTTATGATAAAGAACTAAGAACTAGCAAAGAAATCAGCTGTTCCTGAAACAGGGACCATAATCCACATATTCAATGGAGTAGGCAGAACTGATGAACAGAATTTTACTTTTCTGGGGAACAGAGATAAGTAGCATTAAAACAAACCAACAGAACGAGACGTTTGTAAGAAAAGTCAAGCAGTGTCGCAACGTTTCCAAAGTCTATGCCATCTATATTTGTGTRAAGTGGTTACCTAAATGCTATGTTAATCCATGGTCACAGAATCAAACCCAGATCTGACCCTCATGACTAAACTGCCTTCCCTGCAGATTCTGTGTTTGGATCAGACCACAATGGGGAGTGCCCAAAAATGTGCTGCAGAATATTTTCAAAAGYCAATCAGCTGTCCCTCCAAAACATCCAGTCTGAACAGATTAAATTAGATAATATAATTCAAGAAATCTATTAGATCCTAATCCTACTGAAATCAACTGACTGAAAACCCACGACTAAAATTCCATTGGTTACTATGGGAAAAGAAAGAAGGTGCCAACTTGCAAAGAGTTGATTGTCTCTAAAAGCTAATGAGCATCTTCCTCTTCTGTACTTGGTGACATATAGGTAATTTAATTCTTAGACCTTCACTGTTCTTCTTTTGTTAATTGTGAGACACTAATTGGCATRTTATTGTCTGCTTGCTTCCGCCTTGATTTCCGCCCCTCTACTGAAATATTTCTCATTATTGTCTCCAGCAGGTTGTCCCTCCCCTTCCTGTATTTGTTCATATACCAAATGTTACTGTGCAGTGTCATGGCTCTGACAGACATGCTGCAGGAGAACAAAACTGAATGACCAAAGCCATACTAGGCCCACCTCCTCTTGGAAGGACTTGCTTCTCTCACTGCTATCACTGGTTTTGACGCTGCCTATTCCAGCATGCTGAAACCAAGGACTATTCAGATGGCAATAACACACAGTCAGCCTTCCGACAGATGACTTGCTGTGGTATAATCTTTAGCTGATCAATTTTAATCCATCATTGTGTGTCTGTCRGAGCCCTTAGGGGCTCTACACACAATACTAAAGTTGCCTGAAGCCCTCCATCTTCATTAACATCTTWTTTTTTTTTCTCCTTTTTTTTTGCCTTCTTGGAAATTCATAAAGCTGAAAGACCTTTTGGCACTTTCATAGAAATTTCTATATGGTATATCCCAAATAACTGCTGCAGCGCTTCTTGATGAAAATCTACAAAAGAGGGGACATCGCATAGTTCTTATAAAAATTATTTGCAGTTTGGATGCTTCAAATGAGGCAGCTCCTTCAGGAATACAAGCTGGTAGGAACAAAGGACACATAAGAATTCTAAGCACAGAGGTGTTTAAATACAGAAGAGTTTTACTCTGAACACTGACAGCACCAAAGCAAGATATCCATTTTAACCACACCAGAAACTTATCATGAGTAGGCCTGATTTGAGATCAGACAAYGATGCTTTCAGTTCAGCTTATCCAATTCAGTCTTTTCCCACTAACTTATTTSCTAGCATAGGGTTTAATTATCTTTGTGATAATGTGAAAACTATGTCAATTACTGACCTGAATAGAAGCAGGCATTTTTTGCTCCAAAGTTTAGCATCATTCATTACTTCTCTCTCAAAATGACAGAAAAGCACCACAACAAACATCTAAAGCATTAGCTCCCAAATTTAATTTACTTAATATTTCTAGMAGCAGTGGTAGCAGCTGTTGGCTCTCTGCCAATTCACACAAAAAAGAATGCCACTTTATGAAGTACCAAAGATGAGTGGAAAACAAAAGGACATCATACATCAGTGCTAGAGAAAATTAATATCTTATGCTCACCCTGTATAATCTATTTAGCACTACCACCACTCATCCTAATTCTCCTTATCTCCCTTGAGTGAGAACCCGCCAATTCTATGAGTTTCAGAAACAACGGCCTACCCTACTTCATAGTCAGGGTCTTGACTTATCAAGACCATCACAACTTCCATGAGCCTCTGCTTCAATTCAATTTCACTTGTTTTCCTGTCTGAGCTACATGGATTCATCTGCAGATCCACTTTCTGAACAACCCTRTTTCTTTCATTACTTCCAGCTTCACAATTCATCCCAAACACCTGCATCAAAGTTTGTTAATTCCCTACTAGACTGTCACCAAAGGAAAACCTGAAGCCACACCAATTTTTTGGAAGGAAATTAAAAAAACAAACTGAGTTTCATCAAGATACAATGGTATAGAAAAAGGGTGGCCTTTTCCTTAAAATCTTTTCCTACCTTGATTATATAGCCCACATTTGAATCACATCTGCCCATAGGTAAAGGATTCACCCACCTAGCCTTTCACTCCTTGACTATTTGCTTGGCAGCTTTTAACACAAGTCACTGAGAACCTGYAACTGTCAGATTATTTGTGACAGTCTCAAGTTTCCTTTAGTGCTACCTTCACGTGTCTATTCTGGCAGCACTTTGTTTTATACACACACACCATAATCCATCAGAGTAAACAGTATACAAAATTATATGAAAACCAGCCTTGAAGAAACATCTCACCACATGTTATGCTCAAAGACCTTAGAAGGATCAGTTAAAATCCGTGATCCAAGTGGAACTGCTGGTCGTCTACTACTTTGGTGCCTGTGTTGCATCTTGCTTTTCCTCAGACATAAAGCAGAAAGCCTTGTAATGAAGTTCATTGTGCTGAGACACCTGAAAACACATTTAACTCAAATTAAAGCTTTGCTGTAACAAAAGAAATAGAGTAAAACAATAACCCAAGTTTGACATTGTACCTTTTAGAATGCAAGAAAGAAATGATCAGTAAAGAAACCACTTCTTCTGGTGGATATATTGTCMGCTCATTTTCTGCAAAAGATTTCATTCTAGAACTGCAACTGCGGTTTCATACTTTTAAAAGGGAAATTAAGTAACTTTTTTGAAGTGTAAACATAATGCACATAAAGCCTGCCAAAATGACTGCCATGTATTCTCCTGATCCCTGTTCAATGCTGTCTTTGAAATGTAATGGTTATACATGTTTCATTCCTATTAATGCAAATCATAAAGTGATTAACATTTTTCTACTACATGTATAATTTTGTCTTATATTGCTATATTTTACTTTACTTGGAATATCTTTATAGAAAAGGATCAATCATAAAAGATAACAAGGGTAGGTAGCTAGTACCAGCATTTGGGTTTTTGTTTTTATTTTTTGGGGTTTTTTTTTTCACATTCCTGTTAATGTAGGCTTTCTATGAGACAAATAAAATTAAATACCTCTCCTACTACTTTTACCCTGACAGGCTTTTGTTCTTTTTTCCTTGAAATGGTTTGCATGACCTTAAAAATTATTTTAAGTCCTAATTTTTCCTTCCTTTTTTTTTTTTTTTTGCAGTGCTGGTTCTGTAAACACCACACATATAAATTTAATGCACTGGAAACACAAAGGGTGGTTACAAAAGAACAGGCACAAGACATCACTAGAAAACATTCTGTGCAAATTGGTTACAAACCAAAGATTTTTATCTCGAGGAAAATAGTACTACTTGATCACAAGTCTTGTACTGTGAATTGAAAATTATTAATCTGGACACACCAATGCAAAGACTGACAAAGGAATCACTTTAATTAAATGAACAATCCCTCATTTAACATGTACTTTTGAATGAGTCATGCTTTAAAAAGGGCACTGTTTATTCATTCTAAGCCTACAGAAAAAAAAAAAGCAAAAAAGATTAAAATTTCTTTTTATATGTCAAATATTAAATTAAAATGGAGTTTGCCTTACGGTTGTCAATGCCAATTAAAACCATTGTTAATTTTGCTGCTGAAACTGCAATGTTACCAGGACAAGGAAGCACTGCCATACAGTGAAAATGTAACATTTAGGCCTAATAAAAAATCAGAATTTCTTCTAATGTTAATGAGTTTATTATGCCTTTTTTAAAAAAATGTGGCTCAGCAACTCAAACTATTCCAATTTATACTTCAATTACTACAAGTTGTTCATGGTTTTTATTTGAAAATACATATGCATTTCTCTTCACATAATCCAGAATTATTAACATATATGGGATATAATTAAATAATAATTATAAGACATGGAAATTAAGACATCATGCCAATTTCAGCAAAATGTGTAATTTACATAAAGGCAATGAAAAATAAAATTCTTGAAAATAAAAACAAATAGAGTGTCCTCCAAAACCCCAAACCAAAATCTCAAACTATTATCACTTAATTATAGAAATGCTAGATAAAGATTCCATCATTACATTGCAAACTGTTTACAAATCCTCCCTCAGTTATTTGAAAAGACCTGAGCTAGTATCTTGCATTTCCTGTGCCAGCATTGATATTCACCCTAAAATACAATGATTCAGCTGCTAGGCTAGTCACATAATTTTTCTTGGCTTTCCAAAGATTTCAATAAGAACATGAAAAGATGCACAGATGGGAACCATAGTCAGATGACTAACATGATCTTACACCAGTAAAATACAGATATGCAACCCTTTCTATGAAAAAGTAAGCCTTTGAGTGATCTGAAGAATTTTAGCAGATAAATTCTGAAAATGCAAGGCAAGTGGAGTAGGTGAGAGTGTTTACTGTTGCGTTCAAGGTTTAAATGTGAATGAACTTTCTTGAGACATGCATATATATCCCTCAGAGTTAAAAGTCATCCACAGATCATGAGATTAGTGGGCAACATGGTTACAGTTCAAAAAGCATTAAGGTTCAAAAAGCATTAAATCACTTGCAAACCTAAACTACATTTTCTGAAATAAGTCACTACTCAAATGTTTAACCAAAGTTTGTTAATGAAACATGCAAACAAGCTTTCTCTTTATCAGGTAAGATGATCATACTCTAAAGTTATGACAGCAAGAAATGTTGTCGGAAAGAAGCAGGAGTTATTTCCATGTTCAGAGTCACAGCCAGGAACACTTTAAGTTTGATTCTTAGTCAAAACAATTTAACTTTCATCTTTAAGGAAATTAACATGAAACCGAATTACATTTTAAAAGGATAAATTTTGTGGTAGCACGACTATTTTTCAGAAAAAATACCTTCAAAGAAACAATGCACTTCATAGCCATGTTGAAGAGCAGTATGGAAGTCTTTTTTTCCCTGCAGAGCACTGCCTTTTGGACTTTATCATTTTGTCATTGTTACAAGTACAGATCACGTCCTCAATTTAATTGAGAAATTTTAAGAAACAGCCTTAAAACTCCTTCCTTCCTCAAGCTAATAGAGCATCTTCAGTACAGCTTTTTGAAAGCGAACATGCCAAAGAACGTACACACATCAACTGCTAGCCAGACCTGAAACAATAAAACTGATGTTGGCATCCAAACCTCTCAGCAGCCACACCCACAGAAGAAAAATTAGACACAGGAGAAAATAACTTCTAATATTTTTTTAATGGTGAATTACACCCCAAAACATTTGTAAACCACTTAACTGCTAAGTAAAATTCTTTAAAAGTATGAATTCTGAGAGAGATGTCAGAGGAAAAAAAAAAACCACAAAACAAAAAGAACAGAAACAATCTGTTACTTTTGTCCGAGGACCCAATTTAATGAACTTACTGGATGAAAATACTTTGACATTTGTCTGATCTCCAGCTATAAATCTAACAACTTTTTCAATATCCAATCACTAAACCTACTTGTAGAGTCTCTATTATTAAGAAAAAATAGCCAATATCAGGAACAGTATGTACAGCTTTTTGTTATATTCCTAGACAGAAAAGTATTCTGGAATCAATTAACTTCATACAATTACTTCTGCTTAGTTTATGCAAAGGTGGGGGGGAGAAGTGGAGATAAACCCTGCTGATTTACTGGAAACATTTACTTGAATAATCAAAGAAAGGTTCCTCTTTACCCTGCACACCCTCTGCTGGCTGCTGCTAACACATGAAGGAGGAAAAGGAAAGAAAAAAAACTGTTGTGACTTCATGTGTAAGTATACATTTACATGCACAGCAAAGACAGATCTAAAATTCCAAATGCAATTACTTTAACTGTTTCTAACCATATTATCTACAAAATACTGAAGATTTAACTGTATTGCCTAACAAAAGATGATTGGCCTCAATGCAAACTATGGGCTTCTTTGTTAAAGATGATGACAATTGGGATAGAACAACGTGAATTTTACTACAATTTATAGTCAATAATTTAATCCATTTACATTCTTCTGTATGTCTTATGTGGACTTTGCTGAGCTGCAACCTGCCTTGCCAGCTATGAAGTCGGTGGTGATGTTGCAGATTCACCAGGCAGTATGCTCCCTTTTCTGCCCTTATCAGCTCTGTGAAGAAGCAACTGCAACCATCATGTTTGTGTTTAGCTCACTTCACGAAATAACTGCGAAGCACCAGGAAGTTAAAGAACTCTCTCTTTCTTACAGTATCAGTGAAGATTCAAGGTTCCACTCAGACATCCTTAAGAACACACAGGGACACACAAAAGATTAGCAACTTTTAATTACCCCATTTGGGCATTTGGCCTCTCACAAGGAAGAGAAACAACTCTGTCCAAAGACTTCAGCTGCTCTGCCGGCAATTAGCGATTGATGATTGTAACAACTTTTGGGATGTAGCTCTAAAAATAAAAAAATGAAGTGTTATACATCTTAAGCTTCTGTTGACCTTGGAGTTTTAAACAGGTTTAAATGGGTTTGAATAAATCCACTAACCTTCCCCCATGTCCAGGTACACTCAATCACACACCGCCGGACACAGCAAGGCGCGGGGTCGGTGCCCCTGGCCCGCAGGTCGGGCGTTCACCCTGGGAGTGCCCCGCGCCCAGCCCCGGGGACGGTGCTCTACAGCAGGAGCATTTTAAAAGAAAGAAAATAGCAGTTCCCACTTCTCCTTAACTAGCTATCACTAACAAAACTTTCCGGGCCGTTATTTTAAAAAACAACGAGTAAAATGCTTCCATCAGCATGCCCCGCACCCTTCAGCGCAGGGTCGGCAGGGAGCCCGGCCGAGGCAGGGAGCCCGGCCGAGGCAGGGAGCCCGGTGACAGGGGCTCCCGGGTACCGGCGGGCGGCCGCTGCCGGCGGCTCTCACCAAGCTCTGCGCAGTGTCTGCTCCTGCCCGGTCATCCGAGCGGTGTTATATCAGCGCCAACACCGCAGCGCTCCCGTACGGGGGAGCGACCCCGCCCCACGCCCACCCGCGGGTACCACGCGGCCGCCTCAGCCGGCCCTGCCCGCCCAGGAGCGGCGGAAGCAGGAGGTGCAGCAGGAGGTGCAGCAGGAGGTGCAGCAGGAGGTGCAGCAGGAGGTGCAGCAGGAGGTGCAGCCGGGGCGCGCTGTGCTATTCCGTTCGCAGAGAACTACAGTACCCGGCGGGCCGCGGGGGAGGCGGCGGCGGCGCAGCGCTGTCCCCGCCCCGCGTTTGCGGAAACTGGCGCTGTGGCGGCCGGGGAAGCGCGGGGCGCGGAGCACTGCGGGGAGGCCTCGGTTTGCCTCTTGCGAGTCAAGGAGCATTGGGCCCTTGCGGCCCTTACCCGCTTCGCTTCGCCTCTCGCCGGGCAGGCGGGGATTTGAGAGGAAACCGGCGTGGGCCTGACCCTGCAAGGCTGCCGGGCCCGGCGAGAGCGAGGCTGGAGCGGCGGAGGAGGGCGATCCCGCCCCGCGGGCCGGGGATGTGCCCGCAGGCGGCCGCGGGCAGGGCCAGGGGCAGGGCCGCCCCCCGGGCGTGCGGGGTGCACAACGTCTGCCGCCTCCTCATCCGCAGGGSCCAGGGCTTCTATGCCAGAGATGCTGGTGTCGCCCACAGGAAAAACCTGGGACTCCTCAGAAAGATAATGTGCCAGGTAATAAACAGGCTGCGTTTCGGCGCTGGCGGAATCCCTGCGGGTAGGGGCTTTCCACAGAGGGGGCTGAGTGTCASTTCTCAGCCCAGGTGTTGGAGAAGTTCCCGGCCACGCTGGACAACAAGACTGGGGAGAGAAAAACGTGCAGTTTTGATGACGGGAGTTAGTAATGGTTAAATTTATTTCACAAGGCTCAGACCTAGAGATGGAGAGAGTATTCTACTGGGCAAAAACTGCAGAGGCACTCGTAAATCTAATAATTGTGTTAGAAATAAGCATTTATGAGATTTTTATATCACTTATTTCCTTAAGAATGGCTTCATATTTAATATCAATGTTAAATTCTGAGTCCTTCAGGGAGCATCAATGTTAAATTCGAGATTTGAGTTCTCACAATAAAATGTAATAAGATTTTTGGGTAAATGTATCCCCAATTCTCATTCAAACTAATGTTACAGAAAAAAAATAGGAACKAAACCAATTACAAACTGAACTCTTTTTTTTAGTCGAAATGGTTGCTGCTTCCATACGTAGTTGATAGAAATACATTGGAAAAGAATGTGGAAGCAAATTGTATTGAGAATACATTTATTAGAAGTCAGCTGAAGTGTCTGCTTGTGTAACTAGATCAATAGGCATGCAAGGTTTTTTGAAATAAAAATAAGTATGTCTGACTTGCGCTTCTTTTTTTTCTAAAACTTTGTTAATGGTATAGAGCTCCTGATCTCAAATGCATGCAAGAAAATTCAATGTGAGCAGTTTACTTCATTAAAGTTTTGGGCACTTTTTGCCAATAATGATGAATAAATTTTTCTACTTTTCACATGAAACACTACCAGCACAATGGAATTAGCTGTTCAATAAATCAAATTAATTACATATAAAAGAATTCTGTAGGTATTTATACYCTGGGGAGTTTATTCCTTGGTTTCAAAAGTCACCATGGAAGTTTAGTTGCCAGTTTTAATGCAGGCCAGTTAATCACAAWATATTCCTTATCCCTGCTGTCCATAATAGCTAATAAAAATATTTTCATTTGTTTTTTTTAAAAAGACATTTTCTTAAAAATCAACAAAAAACAAATAGGATTCTTTCTGTGTATTCACCAGTAATGTTTCAATTAATGTAAGTTATTAATTTACAGGAGCCAAATAAAATATTTTTCAGAAGCAAAGTTTGTTACAAACAGCCAACACTGTTAAAACTGTTGTCTTTCAGGAAAGTACTAAGTTCAAGAATGTTTGGACAACTCATTCTGCATCTCCTATTGCRTATGAAAGAGGAAGAATTTACATGGACAATTACCAATGCTGCATTAGCAGGTAATAAATTCACAATTTTAAGGCATAGATTTGTAGTTCTGAGACTGATTCTGTTTCATATTGATAACTTTACTCATGCAAATAGCTGCTGTGAATTGAATAGAATTTACTTAGGAACAAAAAATAACCAGGTGCATAAATCTTTGGTTTACAATCTTTGAATTATATTTAGATACTGTTATATTTTAATGTGACATCTACTTTGGTAAAAGAAAGCCTGATGTTTCTGGTGCTGTATAACCTCAGCTTTCAGAGCAGGAATAGAAGATTATCACTATTTTTTATTCTTACACTGAAAAGACAAATGAACAGCAGTTCTTTGTAATCTGGTAACTAGCACTGTGGTCAAGAGTGCATCACAAAATCAGCCTATGTAACAAGCTTGGTRCCATGAATTCTGTATAAAACAAGTAAATTCTTCATGTAAAAGTACAGCCTTCAGTATGTGCTAATTTTTGCTAATGTATTTTGCAGATCAGTTTTTTGATCTAATCTCCTGTTTCATGATCAGTTGCAGAGACATAGGTTAGGAGGCAGCACGTGGTAGGGTAGAGGACAGGAAATCTGTGTACACCAGTTCTTGTCCCTGCCTGTCCCTACTGTGAGAATTGGAGAACTGTATTGCTGAGGAAGCTGTGCGCAGATCAGTTTTGAGGTAGTGCCAGATGATACATAAAAGACAAACTACTCTRTTAGTGTAAACCACTAAGAGTTAATTAAACTAATCACCCACAGCTGAGATCTAAATCTGCTTTTATTTCTACACTGAGTGGATTCAGTAYAGGGTTAACCTGTCTAACATCTTTCAGGTTTTTCTTTGTCTCATCCTCTCCTAGAGGGCAAAATTGTGCCCTCAAAAAAAAGGCACACAAAACTTTTAGTTAGTAGAGTTTTTTTTTAAAAATATATCTAAAAATGATGCCATACCTTTATGTTAGGAAAGGTAACAGTGGAAGAACTTGATAGGAACATCCCGATCGTTAGTTTTTGAAATATGCTTTTATTTAATGTAAAGCACTAGAGTAAGAATGTACCTGTTAAGCTTGTTACTTTAGTTTTAATTTTGGGGTTTGGTGTTTTTTTTTTTTTTTGTTTTTTTTTTTTTTTTTTTTTTTTTGAACTCAAAACTAAAAACAAAAAAAGCAACCAGACCAAAAGATTTAGAGGAGGTTAGCTTTTAAATATTACAATATATGAACTATTGGTTATTAAGCCTTATTTTGAGAGCAATTTCAGGTATATTTACAAARTGAAAATAAAATGTTTAGATTTCTGATCTGCCTAAAGATAAGGCAGGATTTATAAAACTGCATGAAATGACTTGTTGCTAGAAAGTGGTCTATGAAATAGACTAATGATTAGCAATCATTTTCCTCTAGTATTGCACAAGAGCCAAGAATACTTTATCAAAAGTCAAAGTGTGGCAAGTCTGAAAAAATAGAAGATGCTTTACTATTGGAATGTCCACTGGTAAGATTACTTTTTACTGGAGTGTTGATGTGCAAATTAAATTAATGTATTTTGGTGAAACATATTTAGAATGCAGTGCTCTTTCTTTCCAAACTATTTTCTCAATGTTTTTATGGAGCTAGGTTATGGAGGTTTATGGAGGTTTATGGAGTTAAGAGTTAGGTTTGCAACATGCACCTTAYTTATATTAACTGAACATTTTGGAGGGATACCTCTCTGAATTCTCAGTAGTACATTCAAGTGCTTCTTTTTGTAAGCTTTTATGGATGATTTTAAAAACAATGCTTTTATGTTTATGCAACTAATTCTTAATTCCTTACAAAATAAATTCAACTTACATTTTTCTTTGTTTTTTAAATAGCAAGGAGTGTAGCTGGGACTTTTATTTTTCTCCAGATCTGTTGACATGAAAAAAAACAAACAGCAGGTACMCTGGCGGTGCACAAAAGCAACCTTGCCCAAAATCTATTCCTTGGTTTCTAACTAATAATTACATAATTTATCTCCTTCACCCAGTGTCCACAGAGGTTAGAAGTATTAGCCCTATTCTTGAGGTGCCTAAAAATAAAGCACTGCTAATACCATTCATTGCAGTTACTGTCAAGTTATCAGTGAATGTCTTCTTTTGAAATACTATTTTCTCTTCAAGATAGTCACCAATTAGATCAGTAAGCAGTTAATTTTCTGCAAGACAAAGGTATTTTAAAAGATGTCTTTTCTAGAAAAGGTAACCCTTGTGAAAAGGGTGACAGCAGATTATTTATGTGATGGGTGRTTATTTGGCATGGACATGAGCTTAGCGATACTGATCTCATTAGCAGRCAGCTTTCCTCCTTTAGTTTTTGAGGAACATGTATTTACTTCTGTGTTCTTCTGACAGTGTCAAAATGTTATGTATCCTCCTGATACAAACTTTTTTCTAATAGCCTTTCTTTATGTAGGGAGAAATGCTACCAAATCCATCGGATTATAAAGCTTCCCTGATAGTCTTGACAGTGCAGAACTGGCTTCTACGTCTCTCTGCTGATAGTGGAGAAGTACTGGAAAAAGTATATCTTGCTGGTTCCTGTTGCAAATTCTTCAGGTATTGAACAAAAACTAGGCTTTATATCATGACCGGTCAGTAGTATAGTGGAGAAGGAGAGCTTAATATAATTAACAGTGGTTAGTACTATAGAGGGGAGAGTGAATCATCTTCATTTTAGTACTATCCTATGGCTGACAGCAAGTTTGTTCATCTAGAATGTTACCTGGAGTACCGTTCCTGCATGCTCTTACCTGTRGAAGAATTTCATCAACTTAAGTATTATGGGGTCAAATTTGGTATCGAGTTCCACAAAACCTAGGCTGCTATTTGCTTTTCTCTGACAGCTTTACAGCCTTTAGTATTGCAATGGCAACATACCAGAAGAGGACCTTTAAGGGCTGAAAAACAAACCTGATTGTATATACAGTATTCAAAGTCTGAGCTGTTTTTGATTTGCAAAGGCTCTTCTCCAAAGGGTAGTCATTTTTCTGTTTCAAAGTAGAGCAGTTGTTGCTTTTGGTAAACTGCTTMTTTTTTTCAGTTTTCAGAAGAAATTATTTTTGTTAGGCTGAAGGTTAACAAAGTGGTGATTATGAATGGAGAAAATTAAGCATGTTATAACCCATTATATTTTTTTACATGTATTAATAAATTGTTTTTAAGGGATTAAGATAGGCCTTTCTTGTCATAAATAGGTACCTGAGCTGGGATACTCCTCAAGAGGTAATGATTGTAAAGTCAGCTCAGAATAAGCTCCCTGCAGCAGCACGGCAGGTAAGTTTGTTGAAAAAATGTCATTTTTGCAACATCCATCAAAAATATTTACAAAGATGGGGGTATTATACCTTGTTATTATGGCAAAAGATGAAGGTGTCCTGCCATTAATAACTATATTCAGTATTGTTCCTTCTCAGGCAGGAATCCAACAGACTGTATTGTTTTATCTCGCTGTATTCCAAGTTTTGCCTCTTTCATTCATTGGAATGCTGGAAATAAATAAAAAGGTAAGTTAATTTCTCTATTAATGTGTGATCTGTAATGTAGTTCTATGACAGCTGTAGTTGARGCACTTGTTTCAGAATTTCAGAAGTCATACTTATAGCTTGTAAAAACAGTTCAAACATTAATTGGCAGTAGTCTTGTAGTTCTTGTRTATGATAGGGGCCTTGGGGGGAATAGTCTTAATTCTAATAACCAGAAGAGAAAATMCAAGTGGATTCTGTTACTGTGTTACTCTTTGACATGTAGATGGACTTYAGCCTTTTCTTAGAGCAATCATAAGAGCTAGGGAATCCTAAAGTGTTTGTACATTTCACCTCCTTAAAAGAAAGAGGTGTGCCTCTGACCCTGTCTTAGTAATAGTCTACGAATTCTATATRTAGTTAAAAATGTTTCAAACTTCTATTATCACTGTTACTGAATGACAAAAGTAAATATGTCTTTCTTTCTCAGTCAAGACCAACCTGAGTTCAGTTTGTGACCTGTATGTAAATGTATACACTTAGGAAGAGACCTTGAGCCAGATTGCAATTTTTGCTGTTCTATTTTAAGTCAAGAAAGCTCTAGATATAATTTACAAATGAAACAGTACAAACATGCAAACTCTGTCTTTAGGTTCTGTGAGGTACAGTGTCTTTTAGGGTCCAAAGCTATAAGCTGGAGTTGTAGGTGGTGCTAGATTGGGTTGAGGCTGTAATTGAGATTGGGCTGGCAAGTGAAGGCATGGAGTTAAACTTTTTCATTTGGGCCTATGAAAGTTTGGGGGTACTGTGTTTTGTTCTGTTCAAAATTAGTATTTAGGACTGGAAAAAASGTTACCAGTATCAAAGGTATTCTCAGTCTGGCTAGGAATGACATCCCAGATCCATCATGCACRCAGTAGGCAAAACATCTGAAAGAGCACTTCTTCAGCTGGGTCTGTACCAAGTACTCATCAGAGAAATTGTTAAAACTGTAATGAAAGGTCAGCATTTGGGATGTGAGAATACACCCAGCAGGAGACAAAACCAGTGAATGCAATGCCAAACCTGATACAGATCAGTGAAATGTAACTGTTACATTGGAGTCAGGGTTAGCATTACTGTTTAAGACTGCAAAATGCACCTCATGCATCAGCTTTACTGAGATACCACAATAAATTCTGAGTTCAGAGTGGCTAAGGTGTCAAGGGTAGAAAGGAGACTTCTGGGTTGGAAGATTACTAGAGTGTCTGGAAGACACTGGGACCTAAACTAACAAATGTATTGAGAAAGAGAGATATCCCTATATAAAAGCAAACTCTCAGGAGTGAATATATCTTTCAAAACCAAGCATATCATAAAATCACTGGCAGTGTTAAGATGTAGGTTCCTCACAGTTCCTGGGTTCCTTTATTTTTTTATTGATTTTAAGCCTATTTTAACTGGTTTAATTGCTTTTTCACTTAGTGAGTCAAATTAAAGAAAACTACATTTCCAAGCATTTCTGTTAAAAAAAACTATGAACTTCGCATGCTGTTATTAACTAAATATTAAGAATTAGTTGTGGGGTTTGCTCAGTGATGTGTTAAGCAATGGCTTAAATGAATAGTGCATAATTATTAAAAAGGATAAGGCAGCTTCTCATGYATATGTCTAATTTGGATTCAGAGAGAATTCTCTACTCTGTGACAGCCAGATAATGTAGTTATAGTACAGCTGTACACAGTCACAGTGTTTAATCACAACTAGTGTTTTACCCTGGGATGAAAGAACAGAAGATCTGAAATCGGGACTTTTAGATTGAGTTGCTAGTTTTGCTAACATTCCTGTGGGATGCTGAATAATATAATCTATTCATGTATGATAATAACTGGRTAGCATGATATGAAGATATACTGAGAATTGATTAGAGTATGAATCCGCTTTCAGAATCTGACTAATCTAACCTCAGGTGTTACTGCAGTGCAAACTATTGAAGAAACTCAGCAGAACAGATGAGTTACAGAAAACTTCATGAACTTCATTGATCACAGAGTTTGGTCAGAATAAAAAAAAAAAGTGATTGCAAAATCAAGGACATAATGAGTTATTTGTGTTTTCTCTCAATTATTCTCTAATAGTATAATTTTGCTTCATTTTATTGTAGATTTTTGGTAATAGTGTGACAGATGTTGCAGTTTCTAATGGAATCCTGATTGTGATGTATAGCATGGGTCTYGTCAGACTCTACAACTTCAAGGCCATTTTAGAACAGGTAATGGAACACAAAGTTTTCATATATGCCATGCTCTTTTGGGGTAACAATTCATAAATATTCATGTGTTGCTACGTAAGTGCATGGGGTATGTGTTTAGGCAGGATAGGTTCCTGCCTAAATCTATTTATGGTCAGAACGTACAAATGGACAGGCACTTCTGAGGAGTTATGTAAATATTAAACCAGATGTGCTYCTCTTCACATACCTAATCTGTAGTTATAGATGATTGTTAAGGCCAGAGACTGGTGGGCATGGGGAAGTTTGATTTCAAACAGAATTGCAGTGAGACTTACAAGTTTATATCCTATTCAAAAATCAAATGTTAATTCAAAAATAAGATCTCAAGCAGTATCTAAAATAAATAGATAAAGAATGCAGTAATAGTAGAGCAGTAAAACTGAACAGCAAGTATGTATGCATCTGTAAAGCTAAACTTTTCTGTATTATTTTAGTTCATGGAACAACCATTTCATTTGGGACAAGAATTCAACTGGAATGGTCAGGTGGGAGTTGTAGGAAAGTATCCATTTGGTCTTCCATGTAACATTAAAATCACAGGTAATTATGATCTTTGTATTGGCTTGACTGGTCATTTTTATGGATTAATTATGACTTATTTTACACTAAGAAAAGTATTAAAATTACTGTGCTCATATTGTTCTGTAGCTTTATTTCAGAATTTACATTATAGTACAATATGCTTTCCTTTACTTGTAATTAAAATAAAACTTATATAGGACATACAAGAAAACTATTAGAGAGCAGCTAAGCTATCTGAAAAACTTGATAAGCAATGCATTAAATGGAATCCCTTTCTTTATTTCTGAGACAYAACTGCTCTCGAGAAAGAGGAAGGACTAGGATAGCTGTTAGTAGCACCCAGAAACAGTATATGGTATGTAAGCAAAAGATGTGAGAATATTTAATCCAACTTGCAGAGGAAATTCAAAGARACTGAATACAGTCAAAGAGATTGAACCATTTGTTTGACCTGCATTTTGATATTCTAGGTTGTAAGAAACATGCCAGTTTCAGTAACATAAATTCCTGAGAACAAATTATTAGAACGTATTCTAATGCCTCAAATCATCAGCTTATGAAATGTTCTGCATTATGTAATGACTTTTTTTCTCTGAAACCAAGCAGTGGCTTCTGTTGGTGCACTTGAGATTAGAATATGGTGCTAAGATTTTGAATGAATAACCAAAGCCTGTGACCTTCAAAGAAACTTCTTTTCTTACTTTAAAAATACATTCTCACAAGCTCACACTTGAGGCATCTAAAAAAAAAAATTAAAAGTTGGTTTCCTGACTTTCAAAGAACGCGTATGTTTATTTATCTAGTTTTGAATGTTTCTRTGTGAAATTGTTTTTACAGGTCCACATAAAAAATGCTTTTGGTCTTTGTTTTCAGAATGTCAGATAAAAACAGACAAATCAATCTAGATTTATATAAAAATGAGGGAGTGCACAAAGATAAAATACAGACTTATATAGTGAAGTTATAATGTATTAGCAAAACAAAGTAATAGGCTGCTACATTTGATGTCTCAGCTTTTGCAAAGGGAATTCTTCTTTCATTTTTCCTTCTGTCTCAATCTGTGAGACAGATTAATGTTTAAAGTTAGGGACCTGTGGGAAACATGCATGTTCTTTGATAGGAAGATTTGCTCTCATGGCTGTTAGGTCATTGTAGTTTTTGGTTTTGAGATTTAAAACCAGTGTACTGGAGAAAATATTTTTGATCTTTAATCATATTCAGTAATTTGTGGTTACGAAGTTTTGAACCCATGACATATTTGCCATGGCTGCTTTTTGCAAATAGTTGCATTCCTGTGGTTTTTGAGTTGTTTTCTTTTAAGAATGAGGTGGCCAAATGCTTCAGTGAGCAAGATCTTAACAGTTTCAGAGTGCAGGCTTGTATTTACTATAATTTAACTGTGTGTAATTTTGCTTCTCACTTAGTGCCAGCCTCCCTACAGTTACTGCCTGAAGGGATGGCCATTATTACAGTACTGTTTTTATGGTGTGAGGTACCCTAAAGGAAGTGTACAGAGATCAAAGCTTACAGGCTGCTATGTACTATGTTACAGCTCTTAACTGTTGAGGRATTGATTTTGGTCACAGTATGTGATTTTCTGCATGGTCCAGAATATAAAATTTGATTTATTGTTAGATGATAGRGTAATTTTAGAAAAAAAAAAAGTGAAGAGGAGGATACTTTGTAGAAGCCTTTTTCTTGTTGTTGTTTCTTTGGTTTTATTTGCATTTAGAGCAAATATTTGTTAGTGCTGTCAGGAACAACTTCGTTTAGATGAATCTTCAGAGTTTAAAGTGAACAAAGAAGTCGAGACTGAAAATTGGCAAGACTTGGGAAAGGACTTGCAAACAATATAGTAATAAAACAGGAGGTGTTAAGCAACAAGAACTAGTGATTTACAAGCAGGAAAGAGRGAGTTAAGGCAGCAGTCACAGCTGTTTAGGTGGCTATGATCTTGCAAATCTTTGCCAAATGAATATAAAAGGAAAGGCATATTTTATAAGCAGCCTCTACTACTCAGTGTTGTTTATCTATTGAGACACGTTTAATTGTATCATTTAATCCATCTACCAGACTTTTTGAGGGATCTTGATATATGCTTTATTTAAAAAGTTGKTTTTGGGTTTTTATATTTTGCCTGTTTCGATTCGCCTTGTAATTGCAGATTTCCTCCACATTTTGTCAATTTTTTTCCCAACTTTTCTCCATACTGTTAGAGTTGATCTTCAGTCCCAAATTGGTTCAGTTATAGCAGTTGCAGATATTGCTGTAGATATTTAATTTAACAGAATTGAAGTTGTAAAGTTCTGTGCAGTCCATTTTATTCAAAGATGCCTCTCATTTAGTAAACAGATGACTTGTAAGAATGGCATAGTACATCTCTATAATTTATCCCAACTGAACTGAAAGGAAAACTAGATACCTTTTGCTGTTAATTGCAAAAATTTCTGTATTTTGATTTTTATGAACTCGGCTACAGAGTGCATCCATTATAGTCCACACTATTTTGTTGTGTTACACAAAAGGAGAAAGCAGAATCTGAATATTCTGTCTTCCTGCATTTAATTCTGTTATTTGAGATTGCTGCTTGCTGTTTCCMGTTATTTATCACTGTTTTTCCCAAGAGAATAGTGACCATTTTGACATGGTCTTTAATCTGTTCATATGTACATCCTTTCTCAATCAGATGAGCTGGAATGATTTTATTTATTTGCTGTCTCTTTGCTCATAAGTCAAAGATATTAGAAGAGTAGTTCAACATCAAGATCTGAGCAGGCAGTAACCCTCCAGTGGGAACTGCARATGTGCCCCTGGATGCCAGGTGAGGTAGCATAGCTGGCGCTGGAAAAAAGTTCAAAGCCAATGTATTTCCACCAGTCTTCAAAAGTTGTGAAGAATTAGTAGCTTTATTGGAATTTAGAATTGTAAGGATCAATGGAATTATGACTGTTCTGCTACTAATGGTGTTAACATTACCAAATATTTGCAGATACCCCACCTTTGCTATTTGAAGCATCTTCTCTGGAGAATGCATTTCAAATTGGAGGTTACCCTTGGCATTATATCATCACACCTAACAAGAAAAAACATAAAGGAGTCTTCCATATTTGTTCTCTGAAAAACAATGCTTTGGTAATATATTCAGAAAGCAGCTTCTCTGAAATTAATGTGTATTATGTTTGTCTYCATCTCTTATTCTGAGTAGGTAATGAATACCTTTGTTTACCAGTGTAGTCCTTTCACAGGGRTCACCCCAGTATCAAATCAGCTGTCCCATGGAGTCATGTGTAAAATACTTTCTTCTGAATTAATACTGCTTCTCRTATTTCCTTCATTCCAATATAACAGCACTGTCAGAGCTATACAGCACTGTATTCATGATTTAGAAGTTAAGTCTCATTACCTGTTTCCTTGCATGGTAACATCCTAATGTACTTCTGACTAGTCAGCCTACTAACTGCTGACTAAAGAGTTATTTTAAATTTTAAGATATTGCAGAATAAATTTCCTTTCCTTAATGTTTGTTGTTTATCTTTRACTTGTACCTTTTCTCTCTCCCTAAAAAGATTTGATTGCACAGTTTAATCCCTTTCTGTCCCCGGGAAGATTTTATTACTSAGTTTAATCTGTTCCTAATTATTTTTATGTATTATTCATCATGTGAATACTACTTTTTGTGAGTTCCCCATCTCAGCTTTTATTTTGAATCTGGAATTGACCTGAAGATCATTCTGTATTACAAGCAACTTTTAGGCCTGTTCAGAGTTTCTTGACTAAATAAGTCGCATCTGTAAAGGTCCTTATCTCTTTTGCTAGCCTGATCAAATAAATTATTTCCCTATCTTATTTTCAAAACTGGCATTTCGTAACTGTAGCTGAAGATCAATTTTGATTCAAATGGACTTTKAGAATCCTTTCTCATCTGTTTTTTTCTATGTGGGTTCATATATTTGCCAGTTTCAATGATTGATGTCAGCTAAATTTAACAACAGAAAGCCACTGCCAAAATCCCACMATTTTGAACAGCTTGCATCTGATTGCTGAAATCACAAGGTATCCYCAGCTTACATGCCCCACAAATAATTTGCACAGAAGAGGCTAAGCCTGAGGTTTGAAACTCAGGTCAAACTTGGTGCTAATGTTTGTTCCATGTYTTGACACATCCCATGTCTTGGAATACTCAAATAGCTGGAATTGTTGAAGTGTTTGCACAGTGTAGGCTAAATCTTCATTTTGCTTGGTTTCAGTAGAGATAGGATGATATAGCAATAGGTTATTGCTTATTCCATATTAAAAATCTTCAAACTGCTCCACCAAATATCTTGAGAATTGGAACTGAGTCTTATTGTTGTTATTATTATTATTGTTCCACTGCCATCCTTTGTGGTCATGATTAGGAGCAATACTTAAAAACCTCCAGAGGTATATAGTGAGTAGCTCAGTATTTCCTCTTTAATTAGATCTGTGAGACTTTCAAAATACTAATATTCTAAGCTTTCCTTTTCTTCTTCAGGCAAAAAATGGCATACAGGATATGAAATGCTGTTCACTTGAACCTGACTGGATATATTTCCATCCAGATATGTCAGGCAGAATAATCCACGTGGGACCGAATTTGATTAAGTATGAGCCTTTTTTACTAATTTTTATTTCATTTAAGGAGAAGTTGCATAAATGCATAAATTCAGTAGTTTGACAATTTGCAGACTCAAATACCCATCAGACTATRGAAATTGTAAAATCTATTGATTTGTCAGAATCAAAAGTTCTAGAAACATCTGCAGTATTCTCTGTGATGACTGTGGGCACTAGAGGCAACAATTTAGATTTTGATACGAAAAATATTCAAGGACCACTGTATTAAAATTTCACTGATAAACATAAATTACAAAAATAATTAATTTCTATTTTATTTCTTTACGATGTATTAATGTACTGGATTAAAAAAATTRTGTAGAAATGTTGTAGTAAACAGATTAGAATATATGGCTTACTTTGTAATTTCTGTTTCTTTTGTAGAGTCTTAAAGCTTAAGGAAGTTAAAAATCATGCAGATCAAATGGAGATTGCAGAAGATTTTACGATAGTAGCCAACAGAGAAAACTGTGTGAGTTTAGTGTCTGAGATCACAATGTATGATTTTGAACTATACTCAGGGGGTTGGCATATGTGAGTAATCACTGTTTTATGAGCTTTTATTCAAGGTTTATTGAAGTAGTATGAAAAGAATTTTGAAAATATTAACACTTCCAAGATAGATTCCTGAAACTTGCAGTCTTTTCTTTAGTTTTCAGCATTCTTTATGGTGTGCAGTGTAACCATGTATCATGGATATAAAGCATACTTAAAAGATGGTGACAGATTTCCTTCAAATTAAGGTGCCMCTAAGTGATAATTGTGGGCCTCTCTTGTGCTCAGGTAAGTTGATCATACAAATGCTAGAAATGCTTCAAGTCTCTCATAATTTAGGGATTAAATCCTCATAAGACAACAAAGACAATACATTGCTTCCAAAAGTGTCTTTCTTTTCCTGGCCATGCAYACCTGTCACTCTCTTGTGACAAGTTTGCCATTCATCTAACCCTTGGTGAGCCAAATCAGCGCACTAAGGTCACAGAATAGTAACTTAGCAGAAAAGGTGAGTACTTTCCTKCTTGCTTGTTTTGCTGAACTGGAGCAGAACAGGACTGAATCACCAGAAGAGTGCAGAAAGGTGGAATCAGGTGTGAAAGGATGATTTAAAACTACTGGTAGAACTGAGCTCTTAAATCACCTCAGTTGTTTCATGAAGGCTTTTGTGATACAGAATCACAAAGACAATSTAATGTCAAAAAGGTTAAAGAGCACAAGGGAAAAAAAATTTAGTTAGTGCCTGGAGCTGTCCTTTTGATTCAGCAGACAAGGTTATGTCTTACCAAAAAGCAAWTTTTTATAATTTGGATACTGTAAAATGCCTGCAAATCTGTGATACTAATTTTGAAGCTTTTGCAGCAAAAAGGTTTGTGTGTTAAAAATCTACACAAACTCAAGAATAAAACTTGTATTGAATTCTAAAGCTAAATGCTAGGTCATCTAATAACTTGTCATACTGCTTTTTGAGAGTTGTTATATAACTTCTGTTACAGTAAGAACAAAGAAATAWGTGTTCTAATCCTGCCTGTGTTTTGCTTATTCATTTTGAGTTCTATTAAGACACTGAAAACCCATTTTTTAATATTTCTGGTTTCAATGAAGCCCAGTGGGAGCAGCCATGGTGGTTTAAGATGCTGCTGTCCCCATCTTCTGGAAGTAAGGGTTTATGAAAATAAATGGKGGTGATTTAGCAGTCTTAATTCTCATTTCAGCATCTTGGTTCTAGTCAGTTCTAGTCAGTTCAAAAGATTATGGTAGCTGAGAACCTTTGCCACCTCTGTGGACACCTCTGAATATGAGTAAATAGCAATAATATTCCAGCTAAAGTCACCAAGTTCATAAACCCTCATAAAGAAAACAACAGCACAAGGCTATGCATAGCTAATGAGTAAAACAAGGTCAGAAAGTAAAATGTATGAAACAAATATATTGTCAGATCCATAGAAACTGAATTGCTCTGAAGTCTAGAGACACTTTTTATGTTTCTCCAAAGGTGAACAACAGTGTTACTGTAACAGCWTCTGGTCGAGTGGTGAAAAAGCGTTTTACCTTGCTGGACGATGACCCGGAACAAGAGGTAACTGATGTAGTAACAGCACTTCATGGATTGTTTTAGTGTTAAGTAGCTAGAAGCCCTTCTTGTTTCAGGTGCAGTGGGTGTAATCTTAGCTACATATATCTTTGAGTTCTTTATTCCTCTTTTCTTTATCTTCTTCTAATTGCTTCACGTGTTGTTTTATCATCTTTTCTCCTTGGTTGACATTTGAGCTTTGGACTTTCTTTCAAGAATTGATCTTATGCCCCACAATACCATCGTAACTCCTGGTGACCTTCAGTGGCACAGAAAAGACAKGTTAATGTGACAAACCATTACTGTYTTATCCATTTAAATATCTACTTTGAACATTTCTTATAAAGCATTTTATGAAATGAAAGGCGCCTTTTCTTTTCCTCTACTTTAGGATCCTCTTGTCTTTTTTATAGTCTCTAAACTTTGTTCTTCTCTCCCACTTGCTGTGGATTGCACAATAATGTATTTAATGCTTCTCCTTTAAGTAACTGTTTATTGAGAATAGTACACCATTTTACTTGGTGCTGAGTCTTAAAAGGTTATGAAAAATATTTTTTAGCTCTCTGTCTAGAGCTGGATCTGTAACAACAGGTAAAATTCACCAGTTTTGGGTAGTCACTCCTATTCTTTATTCTGAGGAAATAGATTTTACTGTGGTAAAAATACAGCATAGTCCATAAGAGTATAACTCTTAAGGGTCTGCAGTTTATTTCTATTCACTTTTTCTTTTAACCATAATTAAAATAATTGCACGCTATTTTTTTCCTGCTGTTATACTTTACTTGTGAGTCCAGTAAATGTTTTTACATTATGGCAGAAAAAGACTGGCTTGAATTTAAAGAGTATGTCACAGTGAGATAAAGGTAATTAAGATAGTTCACAGTTTTCACTCTTTGGTCTCAGTTCTTCACTGACATATAATCTGTGGAACAAGTGAGAGATCTGAACAAAAATACAGATACTCATGTAAATGGAATTTCTCTGATGTACCCATTCCCTCAAAACCAATGATGGCTTAAAGCTACATTGCTTCAAGAGCCTAAATATATTTCTTTGGCCACTTCAGAAGTACTTACTTTCTATTTCCTTTGTGTTACATATAAAATACATGCACATTAGGGTTTTTCAGGACATCACTTTCTTCTGCTTCAGGAATTTTGCTGAAATACCATGACAACTCATGTTGGGGAAGAATGCCTGTTGGGTATCAGGATCCCAAAGTTTTCTTTCAGGCCAGAAGACTTAAGAACTACAATTTTACCAGTTCTGTTTCCACTTAAAAGAAAAAAGAGCTATGCAATTTTAGTAGAGGGGAATGTGAATTTATGTTTCATTTATAAACTTGAGGTTTTGTTTTTTCAAAGACATTCAAAATTGTGGACTATGAAGATGAATTGGATTTATTATCAACTGTGGCAGTTACTCAGATAGGAGCTGATGGAAGAGCTCACCTTGACTTTCATTGTAATGATCATGGGATACTACTTAAGAGTATTCCATTAAAGGAGTCCTGGGATGTGGTGAGGAAAATTCCTATCTTTTATTCATATTGTCTYTTCCCTGCACTCATTTACCTACCACTTTTGTTCAGATTTGAAGCAGATATATAAGTAGAGTTGTGAAGGTATGAGATTTGTATAAAATATTAATCACAACTCTGAAGTTTTAAGTACTCCATCAGACAGTAGTTAATTTACCTGAAAATCTCCATTATTTGAAATTGTGATTTTGTTTTTTTAGTTGATTTGTTTGGGGTTTTTTGGTTGGGATAGGGGCTGTCCTTTATGTATTTCAAAAGTATTTATGAACTTAAATATTCACTCTGTGGCTAGTTACATCAAGTTAACTTTACAACTTGTAAACAGTCTCCCTAGTTTAACTTGAACTACTCATACATAGAATGAAGCATAGACTAACTATATTTTTGGAAAGATGAAATGGGCTGTTCATACAGACCATGGACATCCAACATAAATGTTACATGGACATCTAACATAAACGTCAAATTTTCAGCACCTTTGTGTCTATTTTATCATTGACTGCATAGGCAACTTGTGATCTAAATAGGSATGTGAGAAACCTCTCAAAGTTTTTTAATTCTGTTCTTTATCTGGAAGAGTAATCTCTGTGTATTCACACAAAATTTCTGCCTGATCATGGAGGGTACAAGGGTTAAATATTTCTTGATCCTCATGGAAAATTATATGGATTTTGGCAAGTTGTGGAAATAGAGACTGCAATCCAATTTTTTTTTCTCATTTCAGACTTACAGTCATGAAGTTTACTTTGACAAGGACCTCGTATTACATATAGAACAGAAGCCTAACAGGAGATTCAGTTGCCATGTTTACCARATGGTCTGTGATACTGCAAAAGATGATGATTGTTAATGCTATGAAAAAAAAAAAAAAACAGGAAGTGTTTTGTAAAAAAAGGAGGGAGAATTTTTGTATATATTTAAGCCATAAACACCAGCTACAGCAACTTCCATTTGGATGCTATTTAAGGACTCCATATATATGAAGTAGTCAAATACTGTTTTTCTGGCTGGATTTAATCTCAACATTTTAAACTGCTACATGAGGTCTTGTTTCTTTTTTTCCTTTGTGACACTGTACACATGCCTGTAGTTCATTATGGCTTTTCATGTATTCACCAGTTCATCATTAATGCTAGATGCATTTGTTACTTCTCTAGGCAATAGGATTGAAATACTGGACATTAAGGAGAAAAATGTGGACTTACTCATTATCTACCATCTGCTATGAATTGTCTTACACAGTTTTACCTATGCAACTCTAATAAAAATGGTTAATYAATGAAAGTATGTAAAACTATCTAGGATAAATTTTGTATTTAGTATAAAAATTKTAGTGTTACCATTAAACCACTTAGACAGAATCTTTCTCTTGGTTTGGTGTGAGAAATAAAATGACTCAGGTTTTCTGGTAGTGTATGTTTCAGTTTAAAGGAAATGTTAATAATTTATGTATTTTACTGTCTTTTTAATGTATTTTTTAATATGTTTTCACAGATATAGRTATATAAAAGTAAGTAATTCTCTGCTTGTCCCTGTGTTAAGGGTCAGGAGTTGTTCAATCTGAGCCAAAGCTCCCAGCTGTTCACCCTTATTACTGAGTGCAGCCTATCTGATACTGKGGAGTGCTGTGGGGTATATTCAGAATCTACAGAATGAAAGCTTTCATTTTAAAATAAAAAACACCCACAACAACAAAATGCAGGCTGTAGACTTCATGGTGATAAAGTTTCCAAATGCAAGCCAAAGATGGGCTCAGAAGAATAGCTCATCAAAATGACTCAGTACCACCACTGTCATCATGAGCATGGTAATGCTAAATGCAAATATTTAGCATGGTAATGCTAAATGCAAATATTTCTTTTTGCTCCAGACTTTACTAATGAAATGTGGATTATTTTAGATGATGCAATAGGGAAGAGCTCTAGAAGAATGACATAAATTTTCTCTTGTGTGTTTTTAAAGAAAGTGTAATGCAAAAGAAAAAGTGAATTACAATGTGGAGAGAAAAAAAAACAACACAAAAAGGACATTAAAGAAGATAATGAAACAATAGTAGAAATAAAGGGCAGCAGCAATACCCAACTTCCACCATATCTTCCATAAGTTTTCACTTTGGGTCCAGGAAAGAAGATCTGTCCCTTAYCTGCTATTTAATAAATAACTATATCAGTAATACATGCAAATAAAAATTAATACGAAGCTGTACTCTAAGACAGAAGACCAAATACTTTTTAAGCAGCTACTTAAGAGAAATTTTATGCTCATTCCTGTTTGGCTTTTTGAAGCAGTTCCACCCAGAGAAAGGCATTTAAACTTCATCATYTATTAAATAGTGCAAGTACTGTTGATGAAGACAATCTCTAGCTTTCAGGAGTTTGCTCTGCTTCCTAGTGGCTTTTTGTTAGGCTATTGCAGACTTATGAAGTGATATTGTGCTAAAGCTGCAAATGTACATCAGTATCCTTTTTTTTTTTTTTTTCTAATGCAGCAATTTGTAATGACCAAAAGGCAGCCCAGACTTCGATGAAGACTGAGTCTTGTGTAAGAAATTCTATCACTCTTAAATGCTGTTACTGCACTACAGATGATGGCAGATGTTCCATCYTGGCAGGTCCCACATAGACATTTTGATTCAGAAACAGAAGAGGTTTCTGTTTACTTAAAAACACCTTGAAAGCTATTTAATAACAGAGAATCCCAAATGACTAGCCCTGAACACTTCTGAGTGTCTTGGMGCCCTACTTACAGCCTGGAACACACTAAAAAAGCAGAATTGTTAAATCTTATGGTTTGCGCTTTTTAAGCTATGAGTTGCCTTCTGCACCGCTGCAGAAACTCAGAAATTCTAAAAATAAACTTCTGTTTAAATGGGAGGAAAATGCTGCCCACAAATCAATAGTTTCTACATTGTTTAAAATAACTGTATCTAAACCAAATACAAATAGCTGTATGCTTGGTGGCAGCCCACCTGAATCACTGCTTTTACTTCAGGTTAAGTTTCTAAACAAAACTCATCCACCAGAAAAAAATACAGTACTTTATTTTGCCAGATTTTATATGCAAGCATCTTTTAGTCACTGTTGCTGGCAGTGGTGTTCTATGGAGTGGTGTCAAATTGATATTACATGTGGATTAATGCATTAATTAGGGTGAGATGGAGAAGACAAAAACRTTCTTCATTTCTCATAGGCAGTACCTAACTCCTTTACAATTAGGAAACCCATTTCCTGATAAGTTTTTATTTTATAAAAATCAAAATAAGGAACTRTTAGCGTGAAATCGTGAGTACCCTTGGTTCCTGTGATTTTCAGGGATTGCTTAGCACTCGTGCTGTGGCTTTCAGAGTATGCAGATAAGGCCTCAGTTACATCAAATGAAGTCTCAAGTGCATCCTTTGAAAAACCAAGCCTGAAAGACTTATGACCTATGCTTCCATTATTTTCACTAGAACAAAATGCCCAAGAAAAAAAGGTTATACATATATAAATATATATATATATATATATATATAGAGAGAGAGAGAGAGAGAGAGAGAGATGGAAATATATAAGTGAACTGTTAATGTGAGGAAAGACTCAAATGTGTATTCCAAACAGAGAGTTAAATGCATCTTGGTCACTTCTGCCAGCATTCCCAAGTCATCATTTCACCCAAACTTTTGGCATTTTCAGTGTAGAGAAATGTTTCTTCCCTTTTTTTTTTTTTTCCTGGATATATCCAGTTACTTTAACCGCACAGTTTCTTGCTCATTTTATTATCATTTTGTCTTTTATTTTTCTCTTGTTATTGAGAAAAATACCATTCATATTACTTCACAGTAACTGAAGATTCGCAAAAACTCAGCAGCAAGAATTTTCTTCTCCTTATAGACCTATAACAGCTATTTCACAAGATTGAACAGCTAATAAATTTATTTGGTTCCCAGTCATCACAAAGATTGTTAATAGGAATACCTGAAAGAAAGGACACCATATAGGCTGGCATGTAGGCTGAGTGCTTTCTGAAAGAACAGTTGTGAGGATTTGCTGTTTGCTGCTTAAAGCAAGATCTCTGAGCCCTCTGCCTGCAAAAAGCAAAATATTGGTCTAGTAATTAAAAAGGTCATGGACTAGAGAATTCATTGTGGATTTTACCTAAGGTTGTTTGATGCAAGCATTTTGCTCTTGCCAGAATGAACAAAACCTAAACAACAAAAGCAASAAGGGGGAAGCAGTAAACTTGTATCAACAAGTCAGAGAGAACCACTTGAAGCTCTCTGGCTGCTAGACTTGGCATTAATACAACTATAACTTTAGTATTTATTTCTGTTTTACTGAAAGGACAAAATGATGACCAAAATAAACTTCAGGTTATTATATACTCATATTCTTATAAAATAATTTTGTGTCAGTGTATTATAATATTTATAGATTGAGAAAAGTATTTAAAGTGCTTGCTTTGGCTAATAAAAAATTAGCAACCGCAAAAATAGGTTGAATGGGGTTTTGGTGTTTGTTTTTGGTTTTTTGGGGGGTTGTTTGTTTTGGGGTTTTGTTTTGTTTTGTTTTTGTTTGTTGGTTTTTTTGGTTTTTTTTTAATAAAAGGAACTAGGTATCCTAGTAGAGTGAGGAGTTACAATAATGTGATTGTTAAGAACTTCCTGGTATAGCTTAGTAACTCATTTAGTAAACTGGGAATACAAATGGTTTATTCCTCCCTGAGTGAAGAAGGAATACTGTGTTGCTGAAAACATTATATTTTTAGGGAGGAGTAAGTGTACATTCTTCTCAGGAAATAAAAAGGAAACATGGTAGAGGAAGATAAAATTCACTGGAATTACTCCACAAAGTGACTCAAGAGCTCTGGCTTACTTGAGATGCTGCAGGAGAAGCAATGAATTCCACATGATAGGATTGCAGGCTYTCCAGACAGTCCCTGGTAACAGCTGCTTGCCAGAAGACCGACAGGAAAATCGTTCTGTTCGCATGTTTACTTGGGTGTTCCACATTTGGACTCACACACTGGCCGTTTTCCCTATTATCTCCTGTGTGCAGTTAGTCTCAACTTTGGATGGTGCCTGTCTCTAACATGCAGTTTGCAGCACGGTTGCAGACATTTCCATGCTCTGGGGCAATGGAAATCTGGGAAAATCCTGAATGCTGACACCACGTTCTTCCTATTTTAGCCCTTTGTAATGCCACTGCATCTTCTTTGTACTGCCTGAAAGCTGGTTTGGCTTTATGATTGTCTTAGAAACATTTTGTTCTGTGGACCAAAGCAGCATACTTAGAGCATTTCTACTTCAACAAAATCACTTCTTATTTTCCACTTCACCATGACATMTCAATGATTGGCTCAGGACAGAGAAGCCAAAATGGGATTCCAAAAGTGCTACACCTTTATTTGTATTTGAAAATATATATGTTTAGAGGCCCAAGTGGCATTTCCCAACCTACAAACTCAAAAGATACGAAGGACTGGCTTCTCCTGATAAGATCTGCTTTGAGCATAAAAAGAGTGCACATCMTGCCTTTCTCTTGTCATTTGAGTACATGCTCATTGGCAAGGCTAGTAAGTGGTAGGGAAGAAAATAAGAAAGCACAAGCCAAATAAAAACTGAAAGCAGTAAAATGTTATAATATTGCTTTGACAATTCCAACTATTGTCTTACAGTTCCACAACTTTGAAAAACTTCTACAAAGTACTTTAAATTATTAGAAAAATATTCTACAACTCAGAAGCAAAATGTTTATGKATTGAAGAACAATGAAGTCTCATTGCACAGGTAACAATGACTGGCCTATAATCAATATAGCATTTTGGACAAAAGCTGCACTATGTGCCTTATTTTATCTCAGCAAAAGGTCTTTCTAGGGTGGAGAATAAGTAAAATCATTTCTTGAAAGAGTCTTGTTCCATAGTCACAATTTGCAATTTGCAAAGACAAATAAGTGATGTTCTCCATAGCAAAGGTCAAATAGTTCTGTTGCTTAAGCATGGAACTCAATACCAAAAAGAGCAAATGGATCATTCTGCTTTCTTTGTGCCATTCAGACACTAAACACTTAAACTCCTTAGTTTGTATTACTCCTGGCAAGATAACTTCTACGGAGGTATTTCTAAATCTTCCACAAGAGTCAGTTAAATTAGCTGCCAGAACAAAGCTGACTGGACAATCTCAGGATTTCTGTTTGTTTACAAAATGAACAGCCATTAGGCTTCTGAAAAACTCATCCAAATTCTTTAAGGGATACTGTAACTTATCTCGAATATTAAATGACTTATCCTGCATGGAAAAACAGATGAAAYTGTAGCTGGTAAAAGACACTTTAATCTTATTCTAAATACAGYTCTGACCAGTCAGTTATTGGTCACTGGAAACTTGAAACACTTCCTGTATTAAAAAAGTTACATCAGAGGCACAAAATAATGGCCTATGGTGGCATGGTGTGTTGCTTCGATAAGCATTTTTGGATGCCTATGTTTAGGCTACTGCTCTCCAAACACATAACTGGTATAGCAACAATGACAGTGGTTGCCAAGTTCTGCAGGTGTGATACTGGCAGGAATCCACTGCCAGTGGATTGCCTCTTGCCACTTGCCTCTTCAAAATAATCTGTGAATCTTTGTCTGTTTTGTAGGTCTTATTTTGTCTGTCTGCTTTGTAGGTTCTTCCAGGTCTGAAATCACAGTTATCCTACATCTGACAGTGCAGCAACCCAAAGAAAGAAGTGCATGTTAGATGATGTCCCAACAGAACTGATAAGAGGGAATACACACTGACAGAGTTGGTAATGTACTGGAAAAATATCCCGTCTCTAGGAGACAGAAGCTCTGGAAAAGAATAGAGATTATGGACACTGTAGAACCTATCCACAACAATGGTTAACAAAAGCAGTTGTTCATTGATCCAAGAGACTTGAAAGCCCCATAYAGGACAGTTTCATTTTTATGCCAGTGGAGGTTCATTTTCCAAACATTATCAAGTGCGTCATTCAGCCCTCAGCAGTCAACTGTATCACRTTGAGTTCCCAACCCCAAGGAAACAAGAAATCCACTCAGACATCGTAGTTGTGCTAAGGATTGCTTCTGATTCTGTACCGATCTGACATTTGAATCACACGGGCAAGAAGAGGTGGAAGAACAGGAAACACGGAGAAATACAGGCCAGAGTTACTAATTGTGCTGCCTAAAATCACTTCTGCAGCACAGATGTTCCATAAAGAACATTTCACTTTGTCTAACAACTTACTTTGCACTTTGTTCTGGTTTGCTTTATTTAACAATCTCTGAGCTTCAACATTTCTTCAATTCTATTATTTAAAAAAAAAACTTTGTTCATTGTTACTTGGTAAAACTAGGCTTCATTTTCAGTTCAATAGAATTTTGTGTCTGCTCATTTTGAGCCCCATTTTGAGGGCTGTCAATACTTTTTTGGGAATTTCATGTAAAAATTTTGCAATTTCCTGTATGRAACTGAGAAGCACCATGAGACTGATGCTTTGCAATCTGCAAAATTCCAACAAAAATGTGAAGATTTTACAATRCTCTTCAAGGAAATACTATTTTTTGAAAATACATTAAAGATTATAATATTGTTTAAAAGACAATGAATAAGAGAATGCAGGTAAGTAGAGAAAAATATATTTTTACAGGTAAAAATACTCCAAAATTAATAATGTATAAGTACTATTTTGTTTAACCCATATGATATTTTTTTAGGCATAAGCAGGCAGATCTATGGCTTTATTATATGTTGGTTTGCAAAGAAAAAAWACTTCATTTAAGAGTCCATAGAAAACTTAGTAAAATGTTTATGACCATAATAATGAGATGGCCTGTGTGTCTCATAAAAGAATGACAGTCTGGCACACTTGCAAGTTCATGCGTGAGYGCATTCCTCAGAAGATTCAGAGCATCTTCTCTTGGATACTGTGACTTGTGAAATTTAACAGTACCGGTGTTCTAGTTACCACTGGGAGTAGAAGGAGCAACAGTGAAATCCTGAGGGCAGGTCACACAAAATTCATGCAAATTAAAGCTAGATATCTTCATAAAAGTGATCCTTAGACCAAGCTTTTCTTTTAAACATCAGTATCTATTTTTAGGAGATTAAAGACAATAATGAAGAACTATATTCACATACCACTCCAATCCGGCTTGGTCTTTGTGTCTCTATGTAGATGTTTCCAACACTACGTACAACGTTTGAATTGGCAATATTCAACTGAAATTATTTCAAATTTCATAGAACTGTGTCCTTTCATTTTCTAGAATTCAATTTAAGTGTGAGATACCAGACAACTCAAGTATTAGCCAGAGTAAATAGTATTTTTTTCTCTCAATCGGTTAATGAACTTCTAATTCATATGTATTTCAACATTATATATATTTTAAAAGTAAACTAATCAACTAATCAGAAAAGTAGTGTTGAATATGTTTGGGCATATTCTCCTACTACATTTGACAGGCTTCAGAGCTAGCTGAATGTTCTACACTAAAGCAAAGACTAACTGTTGAATACATGATTTGACCCAACTGGTGAAACGTTATATTTTTGGCAGGCTGCCTATTGTCTTTTTTTGCAATTCTGTTTTATTTCCTTCTGTTTTCCTCTGTAACTTCCTTCCCTAGATGTTGGAATTGTCWAAGTTTTGTGTGCACCCTTTCTAAGCTAGTGGATATTTCATATATCTATGCTATTCAAGAGAACATTGTCCACGTCCTCCTGCCTTCTTGGGCCAGACTCTACATATGAAACTGGTTAGTATCTGTTTTACATTTGCAGCACTTAATGAATCCAGTGGGAAGGGGGCGATCATGATGGCAAAACTGTGCTCCAAGTACACTGTATCAGTGACTTTAAGCGCGCTCCTGCTTTGCAWTTTCTGTATGTGCTGTCTCTTCATCACAACAGCGCTCCTGCTTTATCTCTAAGTGTTTGTGGCTGTAGTGTCTTATCTTTATGGCAGGTCAGTGAACTCCCCAACCTCCACAACAGCCTCTCGCACAGAACCCGCGACCCATCAGCTCCCTTCCTCGGCTGCTGGGGGGAGCGCAGTGGGGCTGCCACCATGGCAGGGGCCAGGCTGAAAAAGAAAATTCTTTTCTRAGGCGGAGTTCTGAACGCGACGGGAGCGGGCAGAGCGGAGGGGCGCGGAGGGGAGCGCAGTGCCGCCCTGCTCCCGCCCCTGCTGCGTCTGTCCCGTTCTGTCCCGTCCCGTCCCGTCCCCCCCGGGCCCGAGCCCGAGCCCGAGCCCGCCCCACCCCGGCCGCCGGCTCGCCCCTCCCTCACGGCGCTGGCTGCCGCGCACGGGGCTCGGAAGATGGAGGRCTACGGGCGATTCTTGGCGCTGCTGGCCTCAGCGCTGCTGGTCGGCTTCGTGTCCGTCRTCCTTTCCCTCGTCTGGGTCTTCCACTACCGCGAGGGGCTGAGCTGGGACGGCGGCCCGGGGGAATTCAACTGGCACCCGGTCCTCGTCGTCACCGGCTTCGTCTTCATCCAGGGCATCGGTGCGTCGGGGCGCGGGTGGGCGCGGGGGAGCCGGGGCTGCCTGGGGCCGGGGCGGCGGCCCGCGGCCGATAGCGGGTGACAGCGGCAGCGCAGCAGCCGGAACGCGCTTTAGAGAAGCCAGCACACCCGGAAAATGGACAAAGAGTCCCTTGTTATATGTCAAAATTGCTACCTATGGGTTTTGGGTTGGTGGTTTTTTTTTTTCTGCAAGCACTTGTTTACCCTGGCCTGGGGACTGCCGTGCACTTTGAGGAATGCTTGCGAGGTGTGTTTTCCTAGGCAGCTTCAATTCATGCGAGCTGAAAATCGAAATGCCAGAAATGCCCTAGGAAAGTTTCTCTTTTGGCTCTCTTCCATGGCCCAAGAGGAGAAAGGAAAGTTCAGTACCACAGAAGCTTGAACGGGGCGTTTGCCAGAGAAAATGTAGCACCATAAACCCTACTAAAATGCAGTTCTTCAGCCTAGACTTAGCATTAATTGTTATGTAAACTACATATCYTAAATTTAATTATTTATTCTGTTGCTTAAGTAACATACAATTATTAAGATACATGGATTTTTTTTTAAATTTTTTTTATTATAGTTGAACTTTGGATATCATAGAGTTCAGCCTTGAACTAACATTTTACTATCACACTTCCAACCAGTCAAAAGGCTGGAAGATGCTGAAGGCTGTCTAGTTCTGGCTATGCAGGAAATGTTGTGATTTGAACTACACTGTAAATTTTTTTTCAGCATGAGTGGCTCAGCTTTGTGGCTTCAAGTTGCAAACTACTATTGAGCAATAAACCATTTTTTGAGGTTGTTTTACATAATATTGCTCAATAAGAAGTGAAATTTCAGGCTATAAATAAGCAATGAAAAACACCTGTTGACTTCATTAATATCTATACTACTTACTGTGCTCAAGCAACTGTTTTTTTATATAAGCATAGAACTTTTGAAGAAAATAAGGGGAGGGCTTTCAGCAGCTTTTTACTATGTATTTTTTATTCCTTCTCCTCTGAAACTCAGTTTTTCCCTGTGTCACAAAGGGGTTTGCCTCAAGCCCTCTGTAGGTAAGAATCTATGTAAAGCAAACAGAAGTTTACCGTAGCTAAGAAACTCCACATATACAAGGAATTCTCTAATAGAGCATTTTTTGGGGAGCATATCCTGTTACATAACAGGAAAAGAAAAGCTGTAGACTGAAGGAGCATTGTAATGAATCAGATTAAATATCAACAGATAAGATACCACTGTGAGTCTGGTTCAGATTTGGCTAATGGAAGTCTGCCACTGAATTCAAAGTACTTTTGATGAGACTGGAAAATCAGATATCTCTTTGGATACATACATGAAAAAGAAATCTTTAGGTAGTTGAAAGCAGAAAGGTGTAGCTAAAAAAAAATCTTGGTTAAATTTGTGTAGAGAATTTTAAATAATAACTAAACCAACTGTGCATACTGGGAAGTAGATATGCCCTAATAAAAGTGTTTTATGTGTCTTGTCAATCAAGTGGAAAAGCTGTAGGCATGYTAATACTTATTGTTTGTGGATCAACACCTATGGATAAATTATACCTGACAAAACACTGTCAGTGCGCAGTAATTCTMCACAAGATTACCTAGACTTAAGACAAGAAAAACACAGGCAATGAAACTCTGTGTGCGTATTAGCATGGTAACATATCGGAAAATAGTAAGAAAAAAAATGAGGAAAAAGTGAATATTAAGAAGAGTTTAATGGAGTAGCAGTGTGATAAAAGGGATTAAATAAGTAAATGAGGAATTCTTTATTATTATGTCTTATTTATATATACCAATGCAGTACTGTAGACTCGGCATGCTTCAAAGGAGCATTTGCATCATAGTTTGTGTTTGACCTGCAAATGATAATGGTTGGCTCTCTCTCAAAGGACTAAGAAACCCATCCAGATACAATGTGTTATAAGTGATTTTTGAGAATTTCCAATTCCTCACCTAATAAAAGAACATTTTTTTTTCTACAGAGATGTGACAATCTCTGTTGCAGACTGAGGAGCAGCGTGGTGGCTTTTGGGGTTGTGGAAGGTTGAATAGAGTGAGTCAGAACAAGAAGGGTGGGGTAGTTTTTGTCTCCATCCTCAGATCAGACTTCTACTGCTCATGAGTCAAGTATAAGCTCTATACAATAAAGTTGTAGGTTGACATTATAAAGCTTGGAAGGTGCTTCAAAAATAAACATTACTCTCATAAATGATTTATAAATATCATATAACTTGTATTTTAAACAGGCTTAAAGCATGAGGGTGTACTCTAACATCAGCAGCATACATAATAAAGAAATACAATACAAATCTTAATTAATAGTGCTTACATAGAAAAGAGAAGGAAAAATCCAGGTCTGCCACATCACTATGTGGTGTTACAGAATCAGTTAAGTTTTGTTGAGACAGTCTAAAAGCTTACCATGGCTGAAATACTTCTACTTTTCCCCTCTACTTCTCCCTTTCTGCTTTCTTCTAGACTCAGACCTCACCTTCCTACCCATTTGTTTGGGCCAGCTCTGGCCACTGTTGGATGCATAAACTGAATTAACTCAACTAGCAGAAAACTATCAAACAGACCCCCACACCCACCCCAAATTCATTTCTTTCTCAAATAGAAAGCTGAATTGCCTGCACAAAGGGTCTCTGAACTTCCACAGATGGGAGAAGGGAGATGGTGGACTGTGCAAGAGCAAGGAGAAGGAGTGCAAATCTATTTTAAAGTACACATATTCTTTCATCTTGAAATTGATAAAGATGAAGATAAAGATAATGATAAAGATAATGCTTGCTCTGAGTTATCTGACATGCGATTACTTTTGCTTCAAGCGGAAAATATTTCTTCAAAGGAAAAGCAGATAAATACTGGAGTTTCTAACATCCAATGGGCTGCAGAATTCTCAGGAACTGGAAGGGCAAATTATGGGTGACCTTCATCACTGGCAACTTTTGGAGAGGCCATTCTCTTGACAAGCTTAGTTGAGTCTCTTTGAAATAAWAAATGAGCATTTCTCCATTCTGCTGTTAGAGTGATTTCCAAATAATCTTGTGGGCATTCTGAACTTGACAAAASTAAACAACAGGATCAGCCAAGAAGGAACAGAAGAGGAAACAGGAGGAGGGAAGAGGAGCATTCCTTTGTGATAGCTGTGAGGTGCTGTGCAGTGCAGCCCCAGTGCACTAACAGAGCCACTCCATGTACCTTCAAAGGTGGAAAGCATCTCAYAAGCAATCGGTGACACTTTCCTACAACATGTAAAGCACATGCCAGAAATACTAGGAAGCTACTCTAGAATTTTGCCTGTACATTTGCCACAGGAGAGATGTCCCATGCCATATAAAGATAGTGCAAGATAACTCTGCCCTATGTGATGTGTCTTAAAATCATAGTTCAAAACAGAAATAAGTTCTGAGTCAAAAAGCTCAGTCTAGGGTGCCTAGGCTGTCAAATTTCTTAATGGTACTAAAGATCTGCCTCGAGAAAGTTCTTCACAAGGCTGCTTTACCATGTCATCMCCAAACATCCTGCAGCTCTGTATGTGCTTTTAACTCAGGCTACTCTAATTTTGACATGAAATCATGCACCACATCTCAGTAAGTTTTTAAGAGCTTGTACCATTGAAAGGTGAATATTCCTTCTCTCCCCTTTTTCCCCAGAATGTCTTCCTTCCTCCTGCAGGTCAGCAAAGCACCAGTTATGAGAAAGGCAGGGAGAAGCCCACAGATGATGGGGAAATGAAACTGTCTTTTCACATTGATAAATAAATATGCTGAATGTATAATTTCACACAAAGCCCTCACAGAAAGAGGATTAAACCCAACTGTAATATCATGCATATATCCTGGGCTGTGACAGGTACCATGTTAATGGATGGTATTGTTAACAATTGGCCAAACCATTCATCTGTTATTCCTTGGTTTTTTTATTGCACTATTTATGGGAAAGAGCCCCAAAAATTCAAGGCCCAAACAGAGATCTGAGACTTTGTGGACAARTGGCTATGGAGTTTGATAGTGATTTTGGAAGTTAAATCAACTAGATGACAACAAAAAAGATATAGAAAAATTTTAGCCCAGACGTGACCCTCTCATATCAAAACTGAAAACTGAGACTAGGACCTGTGCTCATTAAGTTTTCTTCAGGACATACAGAGTCCAGTACTCTGCTGCCCTTTGAATAAATTATTGACAATAGGGGGACATATRGACAATTATTGACTGTGGGACATATAGTGGGGAGGATTTATGGGTAATAGCCTCATGGCATGTTGAGGCTTCTTTGGGGTCTTTTGACATATCTGCTTTACAGATTACAGACCATTATCATTTGTACTAAGTTGATTAATATTAGTCTGATGGAAGATATTATTGGAAGCTGGCTGAACACAAGCCATTGTGTGCCCAGGTGGCMAAASAGGCCAACAGAATCTTGCCTGTACCACAAATAGTGTGGCCAGCAAGACCAGGGCAGTAATTGTCCCCCCTGTGGCTTGTACTGCTGAGGCTGCATCTCAAATMTTKTGCCCAGTTCTGGGCCCCTCACTACAAGACAGACATGGAAGGGCTAGAGCAGGTCCAGAGAAGGGGAATGAAGCTGGTGAAAGGTGTGGATCACGGATCAGAAGAGGAGCAGCTGAGGGAGCTGGTGTTGCTTAGCCTGGAGGAAATGAGGCTCAGAGGGCATCTTATCATTCCCTACAACTCCCTGAGAGGAAGTTGTAGCAAGTGGGGATGAATCTCATCTCCCATGTAACAAGTGCCAGAACAAGAGGAAATAGTCTCCAGATGCACTAGGGGAGGTTAAGATTGTATACTTGCAAAAATTTCTTCACTGAAAGGGTGGTCAGTATTGGAACAGCTGCCCAGAAAAGTAGTGGAATCACTGACCCTGCAAGTGTTCAAAAAACATGCAAACGTTGTGCTCAGGAGATCGTTTAGTGTGGATGTGGCAGGTTAATGATCAAACTCGATGATCTGAGAGTTATATTCTAACAGTGATTCTAGGATTCTGTGATTCTAATATTATCATGTATAGTCACATTTGGGGAACTGTTGGAGGTGATCATAAGCTCAGTGTGCTGAATCATACTTATGTAATAGATKGCTTGAAGACAGTCAAACCATCTTAAAAACAAGGTTTTTAACATTTTGTCAAATGTTTTTGTCTCTTAAGAGTCAGATTAAGATGCCCTTATGCTGAAAAGCATTTTCCCATTTAAAGTAGTCCTACTGATATCAATGTAATAGACAGTCATGTAAGTATCTATGCAATTGGAGAATAGCATTATCCAAAGTTAGCACAGAAAATAAATATTGTAAAGTAATCCTAAACGCTTTCTCAACGAGTGATCTTGTCAACATAAGAATCAGGCTATGTTGCTGCAATCTGACTAGTASCAGAAAAATCAAAATCCTATGCCAAATCTCTGTTAGATCAGTTTAATGACTAAGGAAAAGATGACACCATGTTGTTTACTGTGGTTTTTTTTTGTTTTTTTTTTTTGAAACACACTTAAATATGTGGTAATTTTTTTTAATAGGAAAAAATCCCCTAAAAGCTATATTTAAGCCTCAGTTGTATATTCAGAATATGCTATGCTATGTGTATCAGAAAAAGCCTTTTAATAAACATTTTTAGAAGATTAAAGACTGGATTTTACTGTAATTTASAATGTAACTATGTAAATCCTATAAGGTATAAAAACTTGTTTCTCTTCTTTCTTCAGCTATTATTGTGTACAGATTGCCCTGGACCTGGAAGTGCAGCAAACTCTTAATGAAGTTCATACATGCTGGATTAAATACCATAGCCATGATTCTTGCAATTGTTTCTATGGTAGCTGTGTTTGAATTCCACAACGCCAAGAACATTCCTAACATGTACAGTCTGCACAGCTGGATTGGGCTGACTGCTGTTGTATTTTATTCTCTCCAGGTCAGAATCTAACTGTATTTATAAACAGGTTGCAAATTTGAAGAGTGTTTTGAGTAATTCAGGTACAAYAGACTCTTGCTAGTACATYRTAACTACTGGGACAGCCATTCTACRCTCTGATTTGGCAAATTAGCATGTACATGTGCAAATAATGGATCACTGACTTTGAAGAAAAAATAATTTTTAAGCATTTTTTTTTTGTTTTTTGGGATAATGACCATTAATTTACAATAGAATTACACAGTAGTGTGTTTCTAAGCTCTATTAATTCCTGAATTTCAAGCAAGTTATTTTGTTTGTTGGCAGCATATTTAAATACAGTTAAAGCTTTTATTAAGGAAGTCTCAAATGGAGTAACAGCTTTTCTTTTTTTTTTCATGCTATCATAAATTTAACTAGTCACTTCTTGGCCTCAAGACTTGTTAATCAGCAGAACAAGTGCAGCRGGGAGCATTAGACATAAAGCCTCTGACATCAGAATGAGCTACGACTGCCTGCCCAGTTTTCCTAAATCAGCTAAATTTTATAGATATTCATGGGCATGCTTTTATCTGCTCCTCTTGGCAGAGAATTAGTATTATTATAATGTAAAATGAGCTAACTCAGTATGTTTTCATTTGGCAAAGAGCAACCATGCCCTGAAATTCACAAAGCATATACAAATGCTTCTGCATATTCATTCTGAACTCCCCATATTGTGTTATTACTTTACGGAAATTTATTTTGTATTTTTCTAAAATTTATTTAAAATATAAAAGAATAATCAGAAAATAAAAAGCAATAAACCCAAAGAAACCCTGGAAAAGTAATTTGAGAGCTAGAAAAGCTATCTTCCAGCGCAAGGCTTTAACTCCAACTGTTTAGCAGATCTAGGAAAGATTAAGAGATGCTTTGACTATGGTGTATTAACAAGATTCCCAGGGAGAAAACACCAGGCTCTCTAATCCATCATGGAAAGACAAAACAAGGACTCAGACTGGAAGTTAAAGCAAAATGAAATACAAATTCATGCACTATTTCTAATTTAGCACCCAGCGTGAGTAACAGTAGAACAAATGAAAGGGATACAACCTCAGTATGACTGGGCAAGCCTGTGACTGTGACCATGGGACATGATGGGTTATTTTCCATCACAAAATTAGCACTGATGGGAGGACTAATGTCCCCTCAATAACTTGATRGTACCCATACATGTATTCACTCTATAAATGATATATTGAGAAACCATTCCCCTACTAAAGATAGGCACTTGAATTTAACTGAAATTCYAAGAAATTTAATTAAGGTTTGTAAAATTATTTAATTCACTCAAGTCAGAAGGCTAGATTGCCTTCTGATGTTCTTTTATGTGCAAATCTGTAACAGGAGCAGAGAACGGGACTTGAAGAAACTGTAAAAGTGTAGCTACTCACACCTTTACTATATTAGTGAATTAGTGACAAAGAAAACTTGTGTTTCCAGTACTTAGTTTGGTTGGAATTTTGGCATTATCTTGGACTCTGATAYTAGGTAGGATGATATATAAAATATCTAATGCCTGCTTCCCAATTCTAATCCATAATTTTGTTTAGGTTTTGACAGGAAACACATTCAAAAATAGAAATGCCAATTGTTTTCAAATTTTTATCAGAAGACATCTAAGAATGGAATTTTTATGATTATTTTTATTGTGCTTGAGAAGTGCAGCTTGTTTACCATATAGCTTTAACTATGTATCTCTTTTGGTTTTAGCTTTTCTTGGGTTTCGCTGTCTTTCTGCTCCCTTTTGCTCCAGTTCATCTCCGAGCAGCTCTCATGCCAATACATGTTTATTCGGGTCTCACCATCTTTGCAACAGTGATTGCAACAGCTCTCATGGGAATCACAGAAAAGCTTATATTTTCATTGTAAGTATTTGTTTCCACTTGTTTATTAAGGTTATTTATTGAAAACGATACTTCCACTTCCACAGAACAATAAACATCTAGCATTGGGACATTGTTTTATTTTGTTTGTTTTAAATATACCTGTGTAGCAGAAGGATGCTGTTTTGAGACCAGGATTGTCTTTAAAACAATCTTTTCTGACCTTTTCTTTCTTGTTCCCCTTTCAAAGGAAAAATCCTGCATACAGTGAATCCCCACCAGAAGCAAATTTGGTTAACTGTCTTGGTCTTTTGCTCGTCATATTTGGTTCACTTATTCTGTGGATGGCAAGCAGGCCCCATTGGAAGCGCCCCCYAGCAGAGAACGCCAAAATTCTGAGTCCCATTGGAGCGACTCCTGAAGGCACAGAAGTAGAATCCACAATGACAAACAGTAGTAATGCAGATAAATCTGATCTGAGAATCAATGCAGAAGCAGCCAGAAAACAAAACATCAAATTTGATGAAGCAGGACAAAGATCAACTATGTAAAGAAAATACACAGAATAAAAGTACTAATATAATGCCAACTTCCCCCTGGTGAGGGYCTTCTAATTTAGTTATATCGATATATAAGTAGGTTGGGGGGTAATTTTTAGTATGGCTTAGTGAAAGATACTTAAGTTTTCTGCAAATGGACTTAAATTCCTGTAAGTCRCAAACATTATATTGRTTCATGCCTCGTCCTTGTTTAAAAMAACAAGAGCATGAATGACATCRTAYTATGGTAAAATMACATAATTGGAACTGTTTGCCATATCACTTCTTAATTTAATGCTTGTATCTCTTGTAGTCATGAAAAATTTAGTAAGATTCAGACTAAATTTTGCTCTTGAGTGATTTTGCATGTTATGAATCAGCCATGAAGTATACCAGACAGAATAATTTATTTTGTCACACATATATTTTCTGGTAATGTTCAATTTTTTAAAGCTCTGATTTGTTTAGCTGATTAACCCCTTCAGCAGCTGCTATGTTCTATGGGATTTGAGGTCATTCAGCACTTTGCAGAGTTGCTCCATAAAAATTTTTAATCTAAAGTTTTTAATTAAAGAGAAGAAATTAAAAGTTTGCTTGATATCTTCATAAAATATTATGTTTCCTTTAAAAGCTTCTGGGATTTTTTGTTGTTTTTTTTTTAATATCAGAATGTATCTGTTGACTTTTAAACAAATTCTACCAAATATATTGTATACAGACAACATTTGGCTTTGAATGCAATTATTACTGACCAAAGAAAATTTTAAGACCAGAATTTGTCTTATTTGAAAAGCTGTAGAAACCCACTTAGAAAAATGTATCACTTAAACKAAATCTTTCTTTTATCCCAGATGGCAGTATTTTATTATCTTTATTTGATTGCACTGTTCTGCTGATTTATGGTACTAGACTAGACATCAGGAGGTTAGAAATTAGAAAAGATGCTATCAGTCTCACAGAAAAAAAAATGAACTTCAAGTGAGCAATGCTTTCTCCAAAACACAGGTGAGCTTTGCAGATTTTATTAAAATGCTACCTGWTAACTGAAAGCAAATTTGGATTTCTCCACATTGATGTCAAAAACATTATTATCATAGGSATGAAGATATGCTGTAGTCTATAAGCAATCTATATAAACTCTGGGACTTATGAATATCAAATTACAGTGTTAAATAATGCAGTTTTCTCTAAATAATGCAGAGTCCCTACTCGCACTTTACTTATATAGCTCTTTCTAGTAATTGAAGTATTAATGCATTATGCTCATTCATTAATTTCACACATACAATTTCACACAATATTTTTACTACTGCAGAAGAATAATTATGATCGATTATTTGGGCAGTACATGTCCAAAATGATGAGYCATTCTATTATAATTTGTTGTAAAAGCTCCAGAGCTCACTAGGTCCAAATTTACCACTGTTCATGTTAGAMTATAGACAGTTTCAGACAGCATATAATTCCCTATTTTTTTTTAATACTACATAATTTTTTTATCTACTTCAGCTTTTAAAAATGTTTTAATACATAAAACTTCAAACATTTTTGTAGTTCACTGTGTGTTAGTACAAACTATATTGGACATGAGTTATTTTGGGTGTTCTCTGACAAGAACCACCTCAGTTCCTGTTATTTGATTTSTAATAATATTTTATTATTTGGTGAATGCAGTACAAAAAGCTAGCACAGTAAAATATTTTTAAAAATTTTCTGCTGTACCATTTGGTACTCAAGGGCTACATCCCAGAGTTCTATGTTTTCACCTACAGGTTTGTGGATTACTGGGACCAACCTCTCATTGGTGCATTTCTTCAATGTATCTGTATCTGCTTTTAATGTAGAATTCAGGTATGACAGATGGAATACTAAACTAAACTACTAAACTATTGTGTGAGCACTCCTCCAGCCCCACTATATGCAATGAATCAAACAGTGAAGCRTGACAGGGGAAATGAATAAATGAAACTCACTTGTTGTAGTAATTTACTATGCAACTTTCTATACTGCACGCACACAGGCAACAGAATTCTAAATTGTTATGTATTGGCCTGTCACTGTGTCTCATCCATCAGTGAAAATGAACTCACTCAGTCCTTGCATAGTACTAGGTCATCTAATAAAAAGCAGGTTTATATGGAAGGTAGTCTGTTGCCTAGGGATTGTTCTGGAAGAAACCAGCTGTACTGGAAATAGCACAAAATCTATGACTTCTTTGTTGCAGCACTGAGTTGAATGTATTGAAATGAATAGCTTTTAGGTGACTGATTCTATATGCTGTTAAAGTTAAGTTCTAATAACCAGTATGGCTTCTGTTTTCCATATACTTTATTCCATATACCGTTCAAGGGGAATGATACTTGAAAAAAGAATGGTGGCATTTCTTTACTTCTCCATTCTCATGAAGAGCAAGTTACTAACAATACCGAGGTTGGGGGTTCAAACCCCATATGGGCCATTTTCTTCAGAGTTGTACTCAATGATCCTTCTGGGTCCYTTCCAACTCAACTACTTTGCAATTCTGTGATAYAAAACTAATTGAAAATCAAGGATTAGCAACCTTTTGAGGGGAGCCTGGCAGAACGCAATTTTGGTTTTCAACTTAGAGGTTAAACATGTACATARTAGAAACTCAGTGGAAGCTGGAAGATTTCATTTRGGGAATTTATAATCWCTGATATCTCATGTGCRTGAACTGTGGGATTCTGAGTGCTGSTMTTTGGAAGGTCCCCATGAGATGCAGTAGCTGTGAGCTCCTAAACCTTGGTCAACCTTGCTGTGTGCAATTTAAAACTGACAAAACATACTATAGACTTTTGGCTTAATTCTAAATTGATTAAAAAGGCCTCTAAGTATTCTTGTAAAGAAATGAGGTTGGTTCAAGTGCTAAACAAAAATACCTAGGCCTTTGGAGAGTAATAGTCCTAAATCTGCTTTTCAAAGTGGCCTTCTGTTAACTTTTCTTTCRTGCAAATTTTCTTACCTGTATTTATGAGTAACATAAATACAGTAGCATATAGGAAATTTAAAAGTGTATTTTCAAAGACACAAATGGAAGGCAGAACTCTAGCTTTTTTATCAGGKTTTTTCTGCATGTTTGGAAATTATCTATGTTGTTTTTACAGGGACATGACTGTAGAGCTTACATTGCAGGTTTGGATTCCTATAATAAACAAGGAAGTCACAAAACCTAACACTGAAAGTGCTATCTTTTTCAAGATACCTGGAAAAAAATACTATATTTACATGCTGCCATGCAGTACTATGCACAAAAAGCAGAACAGTGTTTTTGCCAACATTAATGAAATTGAGAAATTATGGTGTAAATTAGATTTTAAAACTGAATGTAGAGTAATTACATGTGTACTTCTCACCATATGTAACCAAGAATATTACATATGATATTGTAAATATRGATACTTGTTTACATGGATATTTTATTGGGTGACTAAAAGATATTGCCAAATATTTTCTATTTCAGAAGGCTCTTTCTTTTGCTTTTATTTTAGAAAATTCCTTCCTCTGTTTCTAATTGTTCACAAGAACTTATAAAAATATTTTATTGCCCAGAGTACTTATTTGTAGATGAGAGCAAATATTTAATTACAATGTCTGTTTTCCTTATTCTTTTTTCATATGTTAATAAAAACGATTTTTCAAGCTTATGATACTACTGAGTACAGACTTTTATTATGGTACTAAAATATAACTTCCTAAATTTGYATAAAGATCAAATTACTCCTAAATTACTTTTTGAAAACAGGAGGACAGTTGTATAAAGTTTCTTAAATTATTTTCGCCTATTTATGATGACATTTTGGATGACATTCATGTACTTTGTAGTCTTAGAAACATAATCAGTAAATAATGGAAGTGAAGAAATTAACTGAATAAACAATTTGTATTTCATCTTCTGATCATAACAGAAATTCCTCACAGCATTTGTTAGAGGGAGAAAAAAAAACCAAACCAGAACTATCCCATCATGAGATTCCCATCACAAATATGGGAGGATCATGAATTCTGATATATAATGGTAACATAATGCACTGTAACATCCAAATACCCTCTGAAATGTAACAGCCAGACTAAACAAAGACCCCATGGAATCTTCTGACCCAATTTAACATCTGCATATCAAATTACTCATAAATAGGTTACTGATCATAAAWTGCTGTAAAAGTAAAATCATCTATATGAACATATTGGTAACAACTAAGAATTAAGGTATGTTCGTGAGCTTAGTGAGTTTGATTGGAAATATCCTGAAAGCACAAAGCATAAATTGATTATTTGGGAATACCATACAGCTGTTGGCTAAAATTTTCCAACATCGTCATCATCATGGAATAATAAAAAATACTATTATAAATAACAGTGTAGCAGCAAATCTGTTGCATTCAAACCTGACAACTCCCTGTTGCCGATAAATTCCCTTAACTGTTGCCTGTAGGCCGGATGTGTCAGGAAAAATTCTAGTAAAAATAATCCATGTTTTTAAAATATGTCAATTATTAAAAAATCCAGTAAAATCTTAATTGTATTCAAAATTGAAAGAGGGGACTCAAATTTTGGCAGAAGGACTACATTTGTGTAAAAAAGTGTTTTTTCTTAGTAGCTGATGGAACCCTTAAAACTTACGTACCGATTTTTGCATTGTGTTATGGTATGAGCGACACTTTTGATCTCTGTAAGACTTAATGAAGGGCAGTAACAAAGGGTAAACTACTAGTAGGTAGAAACTCAAGTCCAGGTCAACAAAATGGATGAAAACTATTCCAGGCAATGAAGAGAGGAGAGGAGAGGGGAGGGGAGGGGAAGAGGAGAGGAGAGGAGAGGAGAGGAGAGGAGNAGATCCAGTTACTTCTCTATCCACACCAGAAATCTAAAAAAATGACAGGGCCCAAGCGAACTCTTACAGAAGAAGTAGAAACAATAGGTATAAATTTCAGTGAGCTCATTTATGTTCACCAAATACACTTATCATAAAGTACCAGCCAATATATGTTAGCATSGGGCTTGAGTTTACAGCTGAGTTCATGGCCACGTACATTGACTACTAATTGGCTCTCAAATTCCGTATTTAGGTGGTAAGCAAGTCACATCGTTGTCACAAATACAGCTATCAGAAAATGGGTAAAAGTTCAGAAAATGTTTGCAATTTCTAGTTCTATTTTCATGAGCATTTAATTCCAGTCAAAAAAAAAATCCATTAAGTAGTACTGCAAGATAT